GGGGAGGCCAACAGGCACTGGGGAAACCTGCAGCACCAGGCAGGGGCCTTGAGGTGTGTCGGGAGTTGGTATTCATTTCTAGCAGCACGATCCATTCCTATAGGTTTTGATTTCCAATTAGTAATTTGGGAAAATATTGCATATAAACTAAAAGAAGTTAAATAATTTAGGCAGATGGTTTTCAGTATTTTTTCACTAGTGTGCATGCGTGTATTTCCACTGAAGAGTAGAAATGGTGCTTCTGGCTAGGCATGCCTTAGGATGACAAAGGGTATCTCTGCATCTATCCAGGTGCTGTTGAGCTGGAGTCTAAAGTTAATGTCCTCTTTTTCACCTCTAAAGCAACTGAAAGGCAGAAATGAGAAAGTCTTGAACTCCTGGAGTGGTTGTAGCTCTTCATCCCAGAACATACAGGAAATGGGTCATCATTGAACATACTTTTATTTTCCAGGACTAATTTAATGGTGAGGTACCTTGAGCGGGAGATGAGTGAGGGTTTTAGAGCTGGATAATAACGATGTGATGCATTGAGCTACAATGGGATTTGTCTATTCTTAACTATGCAAAGAGATGCAGTTTGTTTGCATCCTCCACCCATGTGCTACTACCAACTGATACATTCCTCAACTGTGAGCATGTAAATACAGAGGACTAACAAATTCATATATATATATATATAATTTATTTATTTATTTACATTTTTCAAGGTCAGTGAGTAGATTCTGTCTTTCAGTTATTAAAGTGGATGAGAGATTTCTGTGGATGAGAGATTTCTGTGACTAGGTCATTGTGGAGTGGGGTGGGGGTTTTTTTAAGAGTAGTGTTACTATTCATCTGCTCTCTCCCCTTTCTCTCAAAGCCTCAGTTGTTTCTGTATTCTGTATAAAGATTTACTTCAGTGTGTGAAAACCAATGGAAGAGTTCTGCAAATTCTCAGCTGTTAAACTGCATATGTTTTTTCCAGAATGGGATATAGGTGTCTGGATTCCCATGCTGTCGATTTAATAGTGGGGGACGGGGGAGGTTGCAAGAGGCCCCTACTTCCCCTCCCTCTCTTCTTTCCTGTCTTTCTATTTTTAAGTCTCATGTTTGTACATTATATACAGGAGATCGTATCAAAAACCTGTGCCTGGCACAGAAGTCATTCTGCTTTTGGGGAGGTAACTTGTGCTGCCATTTATCTCAGCACCAAGTGCTCTTATTCAGTGTAGAAACATTTCCTGGATATTTTCAAGGTGCTGCAATTCTTAAACATACCAGTAGAGAGGAAGTAGCATCTCATAGAGTCAGATCAACCTTTGAGTAGAATCAAGCTTATGAGACTTACCAAATGCTATGTTTACATTATTACAAGTGAAACTTTCTGATATCTTTTAATTGCACTTGGGGGAAAAATACACAAAGTTTCTGCTCTATTTCAGTCTGAAGATAAGTAATGCAACAAGAAGTGTGCTTAAGTGGACAAGATTTATACAGAAACAAGTAATTATCTTTTAGGGAAAAGTATGGTGTTTTTTAACAGTACCATAAAACCATATTATTTACTCAGCAGCTTAAGTGACAACTTTTGTAAAATATGCATAGCCTTATTAGTGTTTTATTTTGAAGTACAAAAATTTTCATGCTTTACTTAATATTTATAATTGTAAGCTGAAATAGTCCTAAGTTTGTCACTAGGCAACTGTTACTGGCCTGTAAACTTGCATTAGTCCTCTTCAACGGGGATTTTGTAGCTGGTATTCAAAAAATGCCTTTGCAGAAGTTTAACTCAAACCAGCATGTCCATTTATTTATGATAATTTATATTGTAAGTGTAAAATTTTCCTTGTTGCATTTATTGCAAGCTGTAATGGGTGTCATTCATATCCAGGATATTTGCAAGAAGAGTAGATGACCTTAGCTCACATAAAATCCTGATGAAAAGTACTTGTGGTGACTATTGCTTGTAGGAGTTGGTGTTTATGGGCAGTCTCTTCAGTACTGCCAGTTACAGCATAGCTGGAGTTTGGGACAAGGAATTTGATGTACATAACCTTACATGGTCCTGTTGCTGATGAGGTGATGGAGCACAGGCAGGTGTGCCCATACTGTTCCTGGGGAGTGTATTAAATTTAATGAAGCTTCTGATTTAACAGGAAGCGTTTACATATGTTTGCAGGCAGCCTCACCCTTTATAGTATGAGGTTTTCGCTGAGAAATATGCCTTCTCTCAGTATTGCTATCTGCACTAACGTGGTGTATATATGCAGTAAAACAGGATATAAACTCAACATGATACAGAAACTTCAGGTTTGTTACAGAAGTCTAGCCGTGATCTTATTCTTGGACAAGCTGCCCTGTATTCTGCACAAGTCTTTCTCCCTTCATTTGCAGCCGGAGCAATAACTATGCAAAAGCTCCTTGTTAGTCCTCTTGAGAAACTGTTACTTTGAATAAGTTGCAGAAGATGCTTTTGAGTTACCCTCTACTTTTTTAGGAGGTGGTCTGGCACAATTAAAACACAGTTGAGCTGTGAATGGTGATGTCAAGAAACCCTTGGCATTTGTCCATCCATGTTTGTTACATTTCAGGATTGATTGCTTGAGACTTCCTTGCATGATGTCAGTTTTCATAATCGGTGTTAAATTGCAAGACGTTAATTTCAAAAGCAGGCCCTGATGAGCCAGGAGGCTGGGGTAACAGGAGGTGAAAATGGGAAGCCATTCAAGGCTTGTTCTATGCTGACTACAATAAGTTTTCTCCTGTGACTTTGCTAGCAGAGAGCTTGGGAGGGAGGGCAGGACAGGCTAGTGGTATGCTCTCTTTCCCTACTTGATAAAGGTAGGAACACAACACAGTAAGAATTACCTTTGCCAGGGTTTTGTGTTGGTTTTGACCCCAGAAGTTAAAGAAAAAAAAAAATATAACAAAGTGCCAAGAGTAAGCTCTACACCAGCAGGAAGTGTCCTTAATAAATCAAAGAACAAATAGTGCTGAGACATAGATAAATGTGTTTATGGAAGGTAACCATGGATGATGACAAATATACTACCATTTCTCATGGCGTCTCTAGGCAGTTACGAAGATAATTTGCCAATGGTCATAGGAGGAGCAGAAGGGGCAGAATCCTCCTCAAAATTGTAACGTACTGTGTTGCAGAGCCCCAGGAGGAGCTAACAGTGTTTTCTGCATGGGTTTTGTTCCTTCGCAGGATCCACTATGGCTAAATCTCAAAGGCCACTTTTTAAAGAAAAAGTTGCGTGTATATAATACAGTTTGTTAGTGAAAACCCAGCCCCAAATTATCAAACCATGTATGGTCTTTATTGTAAAATCTTTCTAACTGCTTGCTAAACATTACTGGAAAACTGTACCTGTGGAGGCAGTCACTTACGTGTTAGAATTCACAGTCCCCATGTTAATCACAACATGCATGTGCAGTGAAGAGCTGACCCACCAGAGATCCTCTTCAGCTGGGGTAACATCTGCACTCTATTTTCTTCCTTTATATAATTACATCTGTTGCTATCTTTATTACTTAGCATGGAGTGAGGAGTGTTCTTCTGAAATTATGAATTAAATGTGTTCTTTTAAGAGGAGGAAAGCCAAATGGCTAATGCAACAACCTAACTTTATTTAATGTCTCTAGTTAAAAGACCACTAGCCTTAAGCAAAGCAAAAGCACCTCACAGGAACTCTTCTTTCAGTGGGAATTTACTCAGATTAATTATTACATTAAAAACAGCCCTGGCACTTCTATGATTGGGTTGGACAAAAGTCATGAACAAAAGTCAGCACTGGGTAATTTTTGCTTAAGTTGTTAAATTTGAAAACAAATGTTGAACGAACCAAAATAAATAAATGACTCTATTTTATGAAATTGAAATGTAATGGGAACCAGACTTGTATCCAACAAGCCTCCAGATACAGTCCATGCTTGCTTTGAAGCTTTAATCACTGTCTGGCTATGTGTGCAGGATGCACAGGAGCATGTCTGGTGTGTGAGATAATGGGTTTTGGGTGGCAGTGCGGCACAGCTCAGCCTCTCTCCTCCTCTGTTAAGGCCTACCTTGTCTCTCCCTGTCTGAACCTGGTGTTTGAACTGGTGGCATAGAGTTTGTGAAGTCCATGTGTGGTTTGGGGTGTCTTGGGGGAGGTAGGGTGAATTTTGGGGGAGATGTGGAACAGCAGTGATGAGACTTTCTAATCAATTTTTAGTAATCAGTCAGGAAAACATAAGCATTAAATATGTTAAGTTTTAATTAGTTTGCTTTCAGGAAATCCTTTGTTTGTTAGGCTGTGAAAACTTACAGCTGTCAACTAAAATTTGGGCAAGAATTCTCTGTAGTTATTTCTGAAGCAGTTCTTCTGAGGGTGTCCAAATTTAGACTTAAGCTCCTAAAATGTGATTGTGTTGACAGTGAGGATGTTGACCAGTGGGTGAAATGAAATAGAGCAGGTCAAGTTCCTTGGCTCCGGTAGGGAGTACAAGTCTGCTGACTGTTCTTAACAGGCACTACTTTACAACAGTAGGTGAAATAGGTTGTTATATTCAGGATACATCATCATTTGAAAGAGTAACTAGCACCATAAGACTCCTGGCTTATCATAGATTTGTTTAACAAGTCTAGCAAATGTCCGCCTATTTCCTCTTCAGAACAAGACCACTTAACTTCTTTTCCTCTCTTTTTTATGTAGCTGTAATCCTATTTACTGCAAGCAGTTTTGAAACACTAAATGTGAGTTAGAAATGTACAAGCAGGTGCTCAAAACTGTTTAGCTTTTTGCTATTTCTTCTATCTTTTTGTCAGATGTTTCTACATCTGCATGAAGCACAGCTTATCCTCTTGTATAAATTGACTGAATGCCACACAAGAGCAGAATTTGAATGTTTATTGGTTTAAATAGATGACTTGCATACATTCTCAGTAGCGTATATCTGGTTGAATATCAATTTGTAACAGAGGAGTGTGTGGAAGTCAATACAAGACCCTGTGTAAGACTCCTTCTTTTCTGTACTAGTGTTTAATTATTGGAGGTGGCCCATGTGGCTTGCGGACTGCCATAGAACTTGCCTTTCTGGGAGCCAAAGTTGTCGTTGTGGAGAAGCGGGACACCTTTTCAAGAAACAATGTGTTGCACCTCTGGCCATTTACAATCCACGACCTCCGGGGACTGGGAGCAAAGAAGTTCTATGGAAAATTCTGTGCAGGGTCTATTGATCACATCAGTAAGTATCCGAGGGCATGGGCACAGTTCAGATAACAGGTGTACTGAAGTCAGATGATTACCAGAGACTTCTTGATTTAGCAGAAAGCTCATCTGCCTTAAACATGCTCTAGTGCATGCTTGCACACCCACTCAGAGGAAAATAAATGGTCTCATTTAAGCAAAATGGCAATTGAGCATTTGACAGTCTTACAGAGCAGCTTTTTTATTAGTCTGGATTTGTTAAGCAATGTTTTTTTAATTACAAAGTATGAAGACTGTTGACATTCATTCTAGTATGTTGAAGATAGACACAACCCTTAATGTAATGAAAAAAATATGTGAAAGTGAGGTATTTTACAGGTAAATATGCTGTATAATATTCTGTCCTAAAATGGTCAACATACTGGTTAGCAGATCCTTTAAATATCATTAAAAAGGAAAGTTCTAAATAAGTATTGCTAGAAACTCACTGAAGTGAGTTTTATTACCTACAAATTTTGCTGCCAGAGGAAAATGAGACAGAAGAGAACAACAGGCTGTGGTGGTTGCTACAATTGCATTCATCACAGTATGGGAAATAATAGTGCTGCATGCTTGTGTTAACAATATCAGTTGGGTGGCATGCTTGTAGCAGCTGTAATTACTTACGTATTAAATACTTCTTTGTTACTCACTGTCTACAGGTATTCGACAGCTTCAACTTATCCTCTTCAAAGTTGCACTTATACTAGGAGTTGAAATCCATGTGAATCTAGAATTTGTGAAAGTCCTGGAACCTCCTGAAGATCAAGAAAACCAAAGTATTATTTGTCATAATGTAGTTTTGTTCACAGTACCTTCTTTTTGGCAGGCATTTTGTGCGATCGTTCAAGGTCATTTCTGTCTAAAGAAATGGGAAGGTTTTGCCCTTCTTATTCAGCAAAGTTTGCTGTGCACGGTTGTAATCATGATACTTGTCATTGTGGCAGAGCACTGATAATTCTTAAAATACAACCCAGTCTGAGAAGATGAGGTTTTGCACTATGCCTTCTGGCATGCGTTTGAGGCTTTGTAGGGAGTCTGGTGTGGCTTTTTGGTATCTTCTTGCAAAAACAATTTTTGATTGATAACATAAATATTGAGGATGGATTAAGCTCCCTGGGCCTTATTTTGCTTTCACATTTGATGTAACTCCCACTGCTGCACAGAGTCTTATCAGGCATGTTATACAAGGTTTTTAAACAAAATAGAGAATGATCCCTCATTCTTTTTTCCATTTTTTAAAATGAGATTAGTGTGTAGGGTGTAGTTGCAATAGAGTATTTTAAAATTTTGTTTTCATAAAAAATACTATGCTCTTTTTAAAGGATCTTATAGTGACAGTAGAATAAATATATTTTATAGGAATAAAAAAATTCTAGAAATAGATATTTTATATCTATTTCTATAAAATATATGTCTAAAGTAGTTAAATTATATATAATTTTTAAATATGGACAATACAAGCATTTTTGCATAATCAGCTTTGTGTTAATGCAAAGGTTAAATTTTTGTTTGTGAGCATGCTCACATTTAATTTCTATTTAGAAGATAATAAAAAGTATTGATGATGGAATGCTATGTTTCTTCTTTTAATACCCAGTCCTTCATTGTGATACGGGTCTGAGAAGATGTTTAGTGCATTAGGTGATTTTTATTTTTTTTATTGTCAGTTTACGAGCTTGACACCTTGCTAACACAGCCTGAGTGTAGCTTTGATTGCAGCAGAGCTTCCCTCCATCAGACCAGGGCAGAATTCAGCTCTGTTAGAATGAGAAATGGGTAATTTATCCTAATGCCCTTTCTTCAGACTGTGAAACCGCTTCTCCTTTGTATTACTGAAGAATAAGTATTATTCCTTGTGTTTTTAGAGGTAGGTTGGAGGGCTGAATTTCTCCCCATGGATCACCCTTTGTCAGAGTATGAATTTGATGTTATTATTGGTGCAGATGGCCGCAGGAACACGTTAGAAGGTAGGTGAATATGTGCTTAGGAGAACACAAAACAAGAGACTTTTCAATCCACTGAAGTCTGTGAAACTATTTTTTATGTGGTATCTTCTGCTTCTGTTGTTAAGTTGTAGCTCAAAATAAAGACATTTAATGTCATTACTAATTCCCAGCACTGTGTGTCTGCATTGCCTTCAAAATTCATCATGATGCGATTGGGCTTGCTTCAAGCTTCAGCAATTATATGATTTTACTTCAAGGATGCTGACAAGATACATGGCAGGAATTGTCTAGTCTTTGCTATTGTGCCTTAAATTTGTACTGTATGTTTCAACTAATGACCAAAACATGACTGTCAGGTATTTAATGAAGGCATCAGAGGTATTGCTGTCTTACAGAGATGATTTAACTTCAAAAGCAAATCCTTTGGAAATGATACCAAAAGATAATAACTCTAAGCAAGGAGGGGAAAAGAGGGGGGAAATGCTTCATGAACTGGAGCCACTTCTGAGAATTCAGACCATCTGAGCTGTCTGTTTTAACGAGACACTAGTATCACATGAACAAACCTGTTACTTAATTATATATTCGCCTTGTAGCTTTAATTCTATCCATGTTCGTTTCAGTTCACTAAGTACGCTATTTCCTTTTTATTAGCTTCATAGTTTGCTTATTCTTATATCTGCCAACCACAATATGTTTGGAGTTAATGCTCAATTAGAAATTTCCCCACAATATTGTCTAGCTATCCTCTCTAACAGACTGTTTAAATAATAAGGTATCAGCAAAACAAAATTATTCTTACCTCAGCTGCAGTCTCTATTGAGAAGTTAATGTGGTTATCGTAGTACCAGGATCTAAGGGAAAAATCAGTGCACTGAAGGTTGTTTACATACAGAGGCTGGTATTGTCATATCAAATCAATCCCAGTGAAATAATGAGACCATGTCAAGAAGCACAGAGACAAAAATTTATAGCTAATTTATTTCTTCTTTAAAACTACATGTATTCTCTGCAAAGTCATCTGCAGTTGGCCTTAAAAATAAGGACCCTCTGTCCCACTTCAGAATATCCAGATGGAAAAACTTCAATGTGTAATTGCAAGATAGTGGCTTAGTGGCCTTCTTTTTTTTTTGCGAAAAGAGGAAGCTAGGGTGGAGTAAGAGAGCGAGTGACTTTGCAGTCAGTCTCACCTTGGAAATACGACAGATAAGCCACTGAATATTTTTCATCCCCTAATATCTTTGGAAAACCTCACTAGCTGAGAGTATGTGCGTCTAAGCACTGTTCTAGAGGTTTCTGTTTTTCAGATCTTTCTTTCTGCTTTTGACTGCTGATCCCTTGCATGTGTTTTCTTAAGCTGCTGCTTACCATCTATATAACAAAAATCTTGTTTGGTATTTTGCATGTTAAATATGTTTTCCTCCATTAAATTTGATCTGTTCATTTCCAATCTGTTGTTCTTTAATTATCATTTGTTCTTAACTTCTTCCCGTATTGCACTTCTTCCCATGGTTCCCCTCCAGGTTTTTTTTTATCTTACTGAGACTTTATCTTGAATGCAGTGCAGCTTCAGTTTTGCAGCTGGAAGTGGGGAGAAAAGACTCCTTCATTCATGGGAATTTTGGAGAAGTGATGGAAGCTGCTTCTGGTGTGTTGTTTGATATGTAGGGCTAGACATAGAAAAGAGACCAAGCTGCCTTGACCAGCTCCTTCCTGGAAGTCCAATGTGACATTTTCAGTGTCTTTAATTTTTCCTTTGCTTACCAGGTTTCAGGAGGAAGGAGTTCCGTGGAAAGCTGGCCATAGCTATCACTGCCAATTTTATAAACAGAAATACAACTGCAGAAGCCAAGGTAGAAGAAATCAGTGGTGTTGCTTTCATCTTCAATCAGAAGTTCTTCCAGGATCTTAAAGAGGAAACGGGTGGGTGCATCCTCTTTTTTTTTATTTCCACAACCAAATACAAGAGATAATAGAGGGACTCTTCATGTGCCAGGCCACCCTCCTATTCACATCAATTTAAATACAGTGTATAAAAAGACCTGCCAAGTGATAAAATGCCATTGATGTCAGAGCCTTGCAGATGGAGGTATCCATTTATGGTGCCGTGGGATTTATTTATTTATATTTTCTAGCTTGGGCGTTGCCACCTCATAGCTTGTTTTAATGTTTAAATTTTTCTCAACTGTAAAAAGTCTGCTATCTTGAACAAATTTAGAAAAGCACTTTCAGTGCCCAGAGATTTCCCTTAAGACATAGCTTGTTTTGTTTGTATCCGTTCACATACTGAACAGCTTAAACCCTCTGAAAAAGGCTCTGCCCTTCTGGGAGGAGTTTAATCTTTGGTTTTGGTGTGCAGATCTGGTAAACTGAAAAGAATTAGACAGGAATCTGCCATAAATACTTAAAATATAAACTGTGAACCATCTTTATGAAAAGGGGGTTGAGAGTAGTTGCACTGTCAGTACAAGCAATTCCATTCTTGATGTACAGCTAATTTTGTTTATTAAAAATTACTACAGTAGAAACCCAAACTGCTGGTTAGACCCAATGCCAGAGCCCCGGCAACCTAAAAAGCACTTTACTGGCTTATTTCCCCTTTTGATTTTGGTTGGTTTTGTGGGTTGGTTGGGTGTTTCGGTTTTTGGTTGGTTGTTTTGGGGGGCTTTTGGGGTGTTTGTTTGTTTGTTTGGGGGGTGTTGTGTGTGTTTGTGGTTTTTTTGTTTGTTTTTTTGTGTGTCTGTTGGGGTTGGGGTTTTTTAAATAGTATCTTGTCCACTATCTTGTCCACTAATGCTTTATCCCAGCTGCTAAGGTATCCCAAGAAGGAAAGGCATCTGTGAGGATCTGTCACATGTTGTTAGTAAAGTACACAGACAGTGCTTGATAACAAATGTATTATCTCTTTTCAGGAATTGACCTGGAGAATATTGTTTACTATAAAGATAGCACTCATTATTTTGTGATGACAGCAAAAAAGCAGAGTCTTCTGGACAAAGGAGTGATTATTAATGTATGTAAAAATGCTGGCTAAAACCTGATTTTATTTACTTGGCACAGAATAAGTGTGAACATCTGTATAAATGTTGATGCATGTTATAGAGGGTGTTTATGGACTTACTACATCATTTCATTAAAGCTCAGATCTCTTAGATCTTACTCTGACTTTTTTTGTTAATGTTCTTTTTCCCTCCAGTCAACACCAAGTTTCTGTAGAGAACTGAAAACAATATGTCCTAAATTTATCAGTTCTGAAACTGGCTGAAATGGGATATTGACTCACCTTGGAAATATGTAGTGTGGTCATCACATTAGAAAATAAAATCTTCATTATTTAAAGGTGAACTTAACACAGCTATGTCCAGTTTTATCAGACAAATAGGATGCATTAAAACCTACCCCAGGCTAAATTGCAAATTCTCTAATGTGCATAGAACATGATGGAAGTAAGGCTGTAAGCACAATGTCCCAAGTACCTCTGAAAGTTTGGGCCTTTGAGGCCTTTTTTCTTTTTTCTTTTTTTTTTTCTTTTTTTTTTTTCTTTCCTTCTTCTGTAAGATGTAGAGGTTTATTTTCTTTTGTTTCTAGAGAGTGTTTTGGCATCATTTAAATTTCTCTTCCTGGAAACTCAAGAGAGGTCAATTTTTCTTAAAGCAAGATGGTGCCAAAATGAGTCAAGTATAATTTCCCGAAGGAAGTATTTGTGGGGAACTATCAGAAAGCTTCTTGGCTTCCTGATGGGACCACTTAGCTTGGTGCCGTGAGCTCCTGCCCTTTCAGAGGATGGTCCCAGAGCAGAGCAGCTGGCCTTGACCAGCCAGGATGGGAGAGGGGAAGGGCAGTAGCCACCAGCAGTGCGGGGTGGACAGAGCGGGACATGGGCCCTGTGGTTGAGGGGCTGGTGTTTGTAGGTGAGGGCAGTCCTGGGAGCTCTGTGGGTAGTTTGGAGAAGAGGAGCAGTATCTGTGGCTGTCAGAGCTCTTCTAATCTGCTCAGGTCTGAGTGGGAGAGAAACCAAAACAGTCTCTGTAAAACAACTGGGCTAATAGGGGTTCTGTGGTATCATCCCTAGGATTAGGGGTCTCATCTGCGATTAAGCTGTAAATAGAAACTGTCTGATTAATAATCACTGGCTTTAAGTAGGGTGACCTGCAAAGGCAGGGGTCTTTACCACACTGGCCAAAGAAAACCCATCCCAAACCAGCAAAACAGAAAAGTTTCCACAGTCCAAGTTTGAATGTATTATTACTGAGGTGTTAAGTTAAACCTTGAGGCTGAGACCTGCATGTTATATCATCAGTATGTTGGTATTTCTGCTCTCGGGTGGTTTCAGATGTGGGGTGCACACATGCAAGAAAGCATTGCAGTGATGATGGTAACATCTTTTGTTGGGAGGAAAGTAATGTCATGAAAATAGCACATATCTGAAGAACTGGGTGCACTGTAGTACTGTGTTGCAAATAAAGCTGCTTGTTCATTGTTGGCATAGAGAGTTCCTGTTTGGGGTAGTACAATAACCTCTGTTTGTGTATTAACTTCTTGGAGGAGATCACAAACATTATGTGGTTCTTTATGCTGTGAGATGTGTGATTGCTATTCATGCTATGACACTGCAATGTTCCAATCCAGAGAGTATAGTTGGAGTATCTAATCTACAGGCTTCTCTCCCTGCAGGACTATATTGATACTGAGTTGCTCCTCTGCGGCGAAAATGTGAACCAGAGCAATTTGCTGTCCTATGCTAGAGAAGCTGCTGACTTTGCAACCAACTACCAGCTGCCTTCCTTGGATTTTGCAATTAATCACTATGGGCAACCAGATGTGGCAATGTTTGATTTTACTTCTATGTATGCATCTGAAAATGCTGCACTAGTGAGACAGAGACACAGACATCAGCTCCTGGTGGCTCTTGTTGGAGATAGTTTGCTTGAGGTATATCTTTATTTTTTCCCCTTAACCAAGCCATTCAATCTACCCTCCAAAACAAACTGTACTCTCTTACATGTACTTTCATTGGAATGAATAGGTTCTTTTTCCTTTTCTTTTTTTTTTTTTTTATGCCATAGTTGTGTCATAACTAATGCTTGGCTCGCACTCTGTAGCTGAGATCCTATTTTGCTTTATGCAGGTTTTATTTCTGTCTGAAAACTGTGAGCTGTGTGTCCTCAGCTTGGGTGCATGGCATAATTTTCCTGACTTCCATCATAGAGAAAAATTGGTCCAAATTTTAATTGTAGTCTGTTTGCCTTAATATGTTCTCTTTTTCTGAAGTGAAAAGTGTATTTCACAATTAATTTATTTTATTTTTAATTCATGCTGACAGCCTGAAGTGTTTGAAAAGATCAGTTCAAAGCGAAATTAGGAGATGGGAAGAAAGCCTTCCGCCCCCCCCTTTTTTTTTTCTAGACTAATTCTTGAGTCTTTTTTTCTTTTTTTTTTTTTTCTTTTTTTCCCCTCAGCCTGTACCTTTTGAGGTTAAGAAATCTGTTTTTAAATATAGAAGCTAAAAAAGAAAATGTGAATGCAGTCTTTTTCATTACCTAAGACGTGGAGGAGCGAAATGTCTAAAAATTGCAAGTTGTTGTATTTTAACTCTTTCAGGGCTACTTTTCTGATACAGTATGAAACCCTAGATTCCAAAATCACATTGCAAGTTACTTTTGTAATAACACATTAATACAAGGAATTAAAATGTAATTGCTTTTTACAGCCCTTCTGGCCAATGGGTACTGGCTGTGCAAGAGGCTTCTTAGCTGCTTTTGATACTGCATGGATGGTGCGGAGCTGGGCTCAAGGAAAACCCCCATTAGAAATTCTTGCTGAACGGTGAGTGTTGCTTTTGTCTTCTCTAGCATTCCCAGTGTTTGAAAGAGCTGCAGCACAGGTAGAAGGCAGTGAAGTTCAGAATGCCACTAGGAAAAATATTCTTCACTGCAATGGCATTGGGTTGAGATTATCTATTAGTTCAGGTTACTGAACAGTTTACAATAGCAGTAGGCCATTGTGCTGTATGCTTCTGCACACTAATACAGAGATCCAGCAATGTGTATAACATGGGTTTAAAGCATTAATTCAAGTTGCTAATGGCTAGGAGTAAGTGAGATCCTTAAGGAAGTAAACCAAAGATACTTTGGTTGTGTCAAAAGACTAACCTTCCAGCCATAAGTATACCAGCAACCCTGGTGTTGCCATGGTCTGATGGTTCAAGTTGCTGATTTTGGTCCTGATGGCAACTGCCCTGCTCTGCTACAGCTGCCCAGGTGTTTCTGGGGCAGATACACAATAGAAATAGTCATGGTTGTAGTAATGCAAGTGGAAGCATTACTAAGAACAGTGCTTTGAGAAGTTTTTTAAGATAGAAGCCTGTGGGATGACTCAAACACAGCCTAGTCCCAAATGGAAAATTGAACAGCATAATAAAAAGGCTGTGGTGGTTATAGGAATTGCAGAATGACAGGATTTAATGCTGTTATGTGGTAAAGAAGTTACTCCTTGGGTGGATGTTAAAGCAAAACCAGATGACCGAATGATGTAACCCTTTTTTTTTTTTTTTTTTTCCCCTCCCTCCTCTTCTTTTTCTTGCTCACTTCCTGCCTCAGGAAAATATGGGCATAAGTTCTGAGAGTCTGTCTTTTTGTTGTCCTTTTTGTCTGGCATCATTCTGCTATCCTGCTGAGTGGGGATAGGAAATGGGATGGATGCATTACGCAGTTAGTGCATAACACTTGTCCTAGCAGAATCAAAATAAGGTGCAGGTAGCTGCAAAAAATAAATACTTTATGTAATAAATATTTATTTTAATCAATATATCTTGCATCTTTTTTTCTCTACCAGAGAGAGCATTTATCGACTCTTGCCTCAGACTACCCCTGAAAATATTAACAAGAACTTTGACCAGTATACCATTGACCCTGGAACAAGATACCCAAATTTGAACTCAAGCTGTGTTCGACCTCATCAGGTTAGTACTTAAAAGCTTGCTTGTGAAATCAGGGCTGTAAATAGTGCATGAACAAAATATTCAGAAGACTCCTTGATTTAGAACCAACTGTTAATAAAGTTTTCTTTCTAGGATAACTCTTGTTTTTCTCTCTAAGCAATTCTCACATTATGCTGCTAATTGCTTTTACTTGTAGGTGAGACAATTATATGTTACCACTGAGTTACAACAATGTCCTCTTGAAAGAGTGAGCTCCATTAGAAGATCAGTGAATCTCTCAAGACACGGTATGTGACATCGCATGTTTCCTGCAGCGCTTAGTATTTACAGCATTCTGAGCATACAGAAATTGATTGAAACATTTGCTCTCCACTGTAACTGCAGAGTCAGATATTCGACCTAACAAGCTTTTCACCTGGTGTCAGAAGCAGACAGAAGGGTACCGTAATGTTAATGTCACAGACCTGACTGCCTCCTGGAAAAGTGGCCTTGCACTGTGTGCTATTATCCATCGCTTCAGACCTGACCTCATGTAAGTGGCATCTGTAGATCTTGTTAAGTGTAGGCATGTTAAGCATTTACCAAAGTATAGAGTAAAACCAATGAGAACAACACTGATACTCTGGAGTCCCCTTCTATTTCTGGTCTTTGCAAGGAGATGCACACCATTGCCAGGTTTGAGGGATGGAGAAGTTGAGGTAGTTTTTGCTTTGGTTTTTTTTTTTTTTTGTATGTCTTTGCACACAATTTAAAATGAAGTATATATGCTTTCAAAGAGCTAGGAAGTCTTTGAACCTTATGATTTATGATCATGTTTGTCACACGGCTATTTAAAACAAAAATTGCAGTGCTTGGAGCATGTGAGAGTTGCATTCCCGGGTCTCTGGAGACAGCTTTTTAGTGTATGTTTGAAACCACGACGTCACTGTCATGAGTTACAGAAATACATGGGTGAGCCTTAAATGGACCATCCTCAGTATACTGTAGTGGTTACTGTGACAGTCATGTAGGGAAATGGTGGGCCATTTTGGTGCACAGGAGATGGTGGTTTTGCATAACGCTTTGTCCAGAAGAGCACAGTTCCCGTGTACGTGGGCTGTGTAACAAAGGCTGGCCCTTGCAAATTAACTGCTTTAGGGATTGAATGTAAGCCAGCATTCCCCTTTTGACAGTATTCCTGGGGTCCTAACCCTATAATACATACATTATGTATAAATGTTTTGTAAGGTTCCTCTGTTAGATACCATGGGATCAGTGTTTGATAGGTGTCAGGAAACAGCAGTTGCTGGTGCTGGGTTACTGTGCCTGCCTGCCTGCTGCAGTCTGTGGTGGGGTGACTCTTTTGTCTTCTCACCAGTCTCCAGAATGCAATGGATGCGTTCTCTTGTCTACCTACACAGACTTAGGAGTCACGAATGAATTATTGTCAGCCACTCATTACTATGGATAAATGAAAGAAATGATTGAGCTCTTTTATAAGGTGTGATAAGTTGGAAAAAACAGGAATGATATCAAGGATGTTTGTTTGTACAGTTTTGCCAGAGAAAGAGCTAGGATTTTAAAACTTAGATTTTTTTGGGGTTGTTTTTTCCCTTGTATTAGTTTAAAAGAATTACGGATGCTTTTGCGGAGAGGACAGTGTAGAAAGCAAAGTAATCTTTTCTGTCTGTGGAAAGCATGTCTCTTAAGCCCTGATCTCTCTAGAAAGCTGATAGATTTCCTGAGCTAACAGACCTCCTGCTTTTTAATTAACATTGTGTTCAAATATTGTTGGGACTGCTGAAGGACTTGGCCAGATGAAAGCTGGGCAGGCAGCAGAGGCAGCTGCCTGTGGGTTGCAGGCAGGGCTGGGGTGGAGGGCTGCCTGCAGCCCCCTGGCTCCAGGAATAGACAGTTTATGTGGGGATGTTCTTTGGGGATTCAAAACCTCACATTCCTTACGAGGAGAAGCTACCCTGCCCTGAGCTTTGTAATTTATTCACATGTTTATTTTAATCATGAATTTTGGAAGCTGTTCAAGAGATCAGAGTCTTAGAATAGGTCCCATAGAAAATGGATTAGAGAATGGATAAACACAGTTCCAGATGTGTGATATACTTATTTAGTGTGCTACTAAATTCAGTTATGACATGGACAGGAGGTCCTCATTTGAACTGTGTGTGGAACACCTTAAAAAGAAAGGCAGTGCCTGTGTGTGTGTGTGTGTGTGTGTGTGTACACATAACATTTCATAAAACATGAGCCTAAATTTACTACTCCTAAATTTGATGTTTTGCAGAACTAATCAAAACTAAAAAGTCAGTTGCTGACAGGTGAACTCTGTAGAAGTACAGCTGTATTTGGAGAGGATAAAATTTTCTTAGCACTTCTAAGGAGGAATTGCATTTGTTCACAAATAAGATACTCCTTTTCATGGGACTGCATCAAAATCCATTTCAGTGAAATAGCTTCTAAATTACATTTTTGCAAAGCCAGGAGTTGTAATAATGGGATTTTTTACCTTTAGCATTTCTTACCTTTGGCATGTCTATCACTTTGACTCAGTGAAATGCCTGCGTGCCCATTCATGGTGCCGTTCTGCACCTATGTGATGGACAGGAGCACTGCATGTTTCTGTGGGAATCAGAGAGGAAACTGCCACTAATACCAGTGTGTTGCCCCACAGTGACTTTGATGCTCTGAATGAAGAGGATGTTGTCAAAAACAACCAGCTGGCATTTGATGTTGCTGAGCAGGAGTTTGGGATCCCCCCTGTGACCACGGGGAAGGAGGTGGGGTCAGCTGGGGAGCCTGACAAACTCAGCATGGTCATGTACCTCTCCAAGTTCTATGAACTGTTTAGGGGCACACCGCTGCGGGCAGTAGGTAAGCCAAATCCAGGCCACTCCTAATTCTTGCAAGTTTAGGGGACGGAAGCACTTTATCCAGGCTGCTTATGAGCACTGCCCTTGAGCCAAGAGTCTTTTCCCAGCTGAGCTGTTCTGGCATGCAAGAGTGCCTGCTTCTGTCTGCAATAGTTACCTTGTGCTTTAAAAAAGAAAGGGGGAAAAACTTGATTGAAGACCAAGGTTTTGTGGGTCCTTGGTGGTTTCAGAGAACAAAAGCAGCTGAATAACTGCTGCTTGACATCATAAAGTTCATGTATCAGACGGTTAGAGTGATTCCCTGGTAAGAATGACTGCATATGGCTTGTCCATTCCTGGGTGCTTCTCTTGCTTTTTTAAAAAGTCACCTTATATTGTATGTATTTATTTTACTGGCTTGGGTTTCTTATATATAATTGCTACCAGCACTCAAGTGGAAAATTCTGTCTGGGACAAAGCATTTAAAAAAGAAATTTGAGTAAATATCCTAAGCAGTTGTTTTTTGAACAGATGCTGGTGAGAAGCAAAATGGAGAGCATAACGATCTGTGTTCAGCAAAATCATCCAACTTCATCTTTAATAATTACATCAATTTAACTTTTCCAAGAAAACGAGTACCAAAGGTAAGAATGGCCCTATAAACCTTTCTCTGTTGAGAAGATGAAAATAAACTGTCAGGTTTAGAAATAAAGGTTTTATATGTATCCTACTATTAAAAGACCTGTAGAAGGAGATTTTTGAGCATATTAAAGAAGAAAAATAGGATTTCACAATAAACAAAGCTAGCACACACATGCACACTCAATTCTTATGACGTTTGTAAGGATAATACTGAAGCATTTGTCAGTGTCATACTGCTGAAGCATTAATAATAGTCCCAGTTAAGCATTCTCTGTAACTGCAGAATTTCAAATCACAGTGAGAATTTAGGTGTACTTGGGGAGAATTCATATCTATTGTCCATTAATATCTTCTTCAGTGAAGGTAAAAATAAGAGGAGAAGGTTGTTTTATTTGTTGTGTTTACAAATTAACATTTTCAACATGAAATATTTGAGATCTTGGCTCTGTTATGTGTATTGTCTTTTATGTTTTATTTTTTGAAAAATAATTTTCAAAATAATTTTTAGGAGGTTTTGTTCAATGCTAAATACTAAGGTGGTTTTTTTTAGTTTGGGGGGGGCTTTGGGCTTGAGTTTTTTGTTTTTTAAGACAGGAAAGTCTGGAATTTTTCTGGGTTATTGGTACCCTTAAGAAAAAATAGTACTGTAGTTCTGTATTCCTAGAGTTAAATATGCAGCCATATTTTATATTTCAGTTCGAATAGTCACTGGTATGCTAGAAGGCTTATTGATTGGGAGTGAGTGCTGTTTTTTCACAAAGCAGGGTTTTGAACAGGTGTGGATGCTGTCATGGTTCTGGAGGGAAGCTTTCAAATACTTAGAGATGCGCAAAGCCTGCAACGGTAACAAACAGTGGGCAGGCTGACTAGCATGACTCTGAGATGATGCTCTCTTACTCATATACATATATTTTTCTCTCGGTCACTTATTAGTGAAGACTTATTGAAATGCCCTTTTTATGTCCCTTTATAAAACATATCCATGCCCATACATGTTGTGATTCAACACTCTGGGGCCTTGAAAGGTTATGAAGACCCGAGTTAATATTGTGTGGCATAGGACTGTGTGCAGTAAGAGTATTATGTTTCTGAATGGATTAAAACTTCAGAAGTTTTCTATGACTTAATTTATGGCTTACTCTAATGAAATTATTCAGTAATAAACTGTTTCACCTTCTGCCTATTCATTAACCTGGTCCTCTTTTGAAAGGAGACCTTGAGGAGGGACTGTGCTTCCACAGCCAAGCCTACCTTCATTCTAATTTCAGTTTACATGGGAAGCGTCTGCAAAGCCTGGCTCAGAGGCACCAGTGTCTCAAATCCAGCTGCTGTAGATTAACCAGCACCAGTTAGACAGCAGCATGTACTCCACCAAAATGAATTTAACTTCTGTATTTTCTGAAACAAAGCTTAATGCAAAATTGTTCCAGGCTTTGAGTTTCCTGGGCTGGCCAGAAACTGTGTATTTACTGCTACAGTTCTTAAGCCCTTGCTTTGTTGGGTTTTGGGTTTGTTTGTTTTTTTTCTTTTATTCCTTCCTTTTTTTTTTCCTTTTTAACAGACCTCCTTCACGCTTAACTCTATTGCTTCATTTACACCTATGCAGAGACTCTTAAGTTGTGCCTTCAAAACTACACATTTCCAAATTCTTTTGGAGTTCAGTGTCCTTCAGAAAAGTTTAGGTGTACATGTATGTACTGCATTCTCTGTAGTTTAATGTATTGCTTTTTAAATTTGTTGCCAACTTATCTTCTCAGTTTTCATGGAAATGTGGGATTTATTGTTTGTTTTTTTTTACCTGAAAAATTGCTCCAGAATTTCTAGGGATTTCCTAGATTATGTCTCAGATATTTTCTATAAAGAAACACATTTTTGAAACCTGTGGACAGCACAGTAACCTCGTATATCCTTGTTAGGAAATAACTTTTCCCTGCCACCCACGTATACACAGAACCAAGTGACATGTTTCCCAGCTAACCAACCAGTGGGAAATCAAATAGGCAAAATAAATGTTGCTTTTTCTTGTGGGTGACTTCTTCAGAAGAAAAACCTTCTTCATGACCACAGTGTTGTTGGTTTTCCCTGAGTTATTTGCGGAAGTAAATAGACTTTTTAGTAGTGGGGAGAGCTTTCCATTACTAAGCTGTGCAGCCCTCTGACAAACCTCCCGTCATGAAATAAGCCTCCTGTCATAACAGGAGGTATAGTTCTTGGCACTACATGAAAGCATGAGGTTATTTGCTTGATGGGCCCCTTTGGTTTCACACTGCAGGGGTTTGTTTGAAAAGAGAAGCGAAGGCGGTATTTTCCAAATCAGCTTGGGGAGTGGGACTGTGAAGACCTTATTTTGTATAGGGCTTTGCAGCTCTGTCATGGCTGGGGTGTGAAACTAAGCAAGGAACATGGTACTCGGGTTAGAACAGAGACTTGTGAGTGCCAGAACCAGCTGAAACTAGCTGGGGAATGAAACTCCTTGGAAAGCAACTGCTTAAGAGTCTGGCTTCAGATTTATTGTCTCTTTCCCCTGCAAAAAGTGCTGCTGAGCATTTTCCAGGTATTACTGTAAGAGAGCACTCACATATCACAGACTCAGAAACCAGCCAGGGTAACAGTGTTGCTTACAAAACTTTCCATACCATCTAGTTAGTCCTTTTATTTGGCTGGAACAGGGATCCTTATCTGGGCTCAGGTTGTGAGAGACCAGGAAGCTGAACCCTGGAGCTGGTGTGGCCATAGCTGTTCTGGCAGGGTGTGTTGGGCTGGATAATGTTTTCCATTCTGCAACAGTGTCGGCAGGGCTGGAGAGGAACTGAGATTTCCTGTGCTCCAGACTAATAAATGAATGGAGGTGTTTACACAATAAAGGGCACGGTCCTTTTTCTTGCAGTTTTGCTAGGCAATTAAATTGCTTTGTCTTTAATTTCTTTGTAAAATATGTTAATTAAAGTCCTTTGTGTAAGATTTTCGAAAGGCATCATCTTGTTTGCTCCATTCACTTAGGCAAATTCTGCTTTTATGTGGTACAGCTTATTATGCAGAATACATTGTGCTGTTATGTTGTTCAATTTTCCTTGGTAGACTAATGACTATAGGTAGTGTAAAGCTAGGTTACTGAGAGCTAGTGCTTGAAAGACAATGTACCAAAGTATACAAAGTAATCAAAATACTGTCATCTGATTCTTTTGGTGTTTGCCCAGAAGTTGTTTGGGATTACTTCTATTCACTGCATGATGATTTATTACAGTGTATATATAAAAAGGAAGCCTGTATTCTTTGATCTCTCTTCATTCTTTTTTTCTTTTTTTTTTAATTGGCTGAGCAATCACTCAGATGCAGCATGGGCAGATGCAAATAAGTGGAGTCTATTGTTCATAAAGTGTAACCCAACATGACATCTATCAGACAAAAAGTTTCCATTGTACCAAATCTTCAAGACTGAATTTAATAAGAACTGTTACGAGTTTTTAAGCATTGACTATTTTGCAAGTTCATCCAGACTGAGTATGAAGTATTATTTATTGTGTCATCCCTAATTCAGTAATTAAACATGTGCGTAGCTTGAGCACAAAATAGGCAATTTGGTTGCTTAAGTATAGTAATGTAAAGCCATAGTCAGGGAGATGAACCTTACAAGGGAGACAGACTTTAATGTAGACAGTAATTGCTTCCCAAAAAGAGGTATGTCTGCGCTATAAACACATGATCTGCATGCAGATATCTAATTAAAAGACGTGAAAGAGTGCGGGGTTTCTGGATTTTGTTACTTACCTGTAAACCAGTGTAGTCTAGACTAAAATTCACAGAATAAGTGATGCTGTAATGCCTTTTCCTTCAAGGATGTGTCAGTAATTTATGAATCCTAAACCCTTCATCACTGAAAGAGGACAAGATAAACACCAACAATGTAGGGCCTGTGTTCAACAGGGTGTACAAGCATGTATTTTCACCTATCAGAGTCCAATGAGAGCTCCCAGTCAGGGGTCACAGCGCAGCTTTGACATATGTGATAACTCCCATGAGGGCCACCAGCCTCCTCATGTGAGGGTCTGATGAGGCATGCCAGTGCCATGGGGACCCCCACATGCTGTCACTGCTCACCTGGGTTTGCCTTCTTTAACACAGGCCAGACCACACTGCCTGGTTATGAAAGTTAATATCCTGGGAGGATCTGTGTGGATAAATCTGGTAACTGCTGCAGTAATCCATAAACTTGTTTTGGCTTTACCATTCCAGGTTGAAGGGAAAATGGAAGAAAATGAGTCTAATAAAAGACGTCGAAAAGGTCTTTTTGGTGTCTTCGAGGAGGTTGGTGTTCAGTGGTGTTCAGCCAGTTCTTTGATGAGCACCAGATCTGAGGAAGCAGTGGAAGTTGGGGGGCTGGGGCTTGGCCTTTTTTGTGCTTGGCAGGAAAAAAAAAGCCATCCTCTCTCCTTAAAACCTTGAATTTACCATGGTGTGTGCTAAAGAAGAGCTAAATTTATTTAAATAATTTGTCAGGGAGGAGAGCATTACCTAAATTGCACTAGTTTTCTTTGAGACCCAAGGATGCTTAAGGTGTTGGTGAGTGTTTTGTCACTAGCACCAGTTAATATCCCCTTTTTGCTGTACTCTGGGACCAAAGAAAGTACTTGTTGGTGACTTTGGCATGCCAAACAGCCTCATCTTTAAAATATTATGTAGATGTATTTCCTATTGCCCTTTGCTGATAAGGACGTTACATCTCTCTTTTTCTCTGTCCGTGAGTGTTGTAGGTAAGCTCAAGAAAACCATAGTTTGTTATTTCCTTGCAGACTTCAGGTTTTTCAAGCCAAGGGACAAATGGAAAAGAACAGAGTGATGGCAGAGAAGGAACAAACCAGAATAAAGTTAAATCAATGGCAACTCAACTGTTGGCAAAGTTTGAAGAGAATGCTCCAAATACAATTTTTCGGAGGCAGGTATGTCATAGTTCTCTGAAATTAAACTCTAGTCACTCCTTGTGAACGTGATGCTGTATGCTGTATGCAAATTAAAGGTATTCTTTTCAATAGTTAATGAACAAATCTGACTAATATAGATTGACTAATGCATATTAATATAATGTATTAATATATATTTTCATAATAAAGTGTAGTGGAATTGCAATGTCTAGAAATCTCTTGTAAGCCAGTATGTAGAATTTTTGCTTTGTGTGGAAGTCACAGCTGACTGCATATGGTATTGCAGAAGGACTTTTTTTTTTTTCCCCTACATTCTATGACTAAAGGACTTTATACATCCAGTAGAATCTTTCTTTGTGGAAAATTTAGAAAGCATAGAAGGTAATCTAACCTTTTGTAAGATGTGTCTGGCTGCATTTCCTTTTGTAAAGTAGACATAATGGAATATATTTGTATGTTCAGTGGCATTTTCATGGTTTAAAGATAATCCAGTGCTGTCAAGGTAGGGATCATAAACTCGAAATCACACTTTAGCTAGTGAGATGGTTTGAGTCAGCCAAGTTTGGATCTGTCACATGAAATATTTGAAGGAAGGATGAACAGGGTGTTGAGGTTCCACAGAAGGAGGTGGTTTTCTTAATTCTTTGTGCTTGTATCAATTCTTTTCTTTTATGTATTTAAGTCCTCCAGAAGTGTAGGCTTTATAGATGTCAAGTGACTTTCACAGTGCGTGAACTGCTGTTGTTTGCACTCCACCTGGCTACTTGTCAATGCCCTGAGCTTTCTGCATGTGATATGTGAGCAGAGGTTTGCTTGGCCTTGCTGAAGGAATGCTTGATGCTTTTCTTGTACCTTTTGATCATAACCTTTCTAAAAGGATACTGAACACGCTGAATTTTAAGTATATCTTTGATGGTAGAAGGGGTTAATAAAATTGGTCAGTGACAAAAGTCTACAAAGCATGTTGTTAAGCTCCATAGTAACGTGTCTTTAAAACCAGCTTTTATTTCTTTCTGCCTCAAAAGACCTTTGAATCCTATTTACTGTCTTCCTTTTTTTTTTTTTTTTTCCCTCTGCTCTGTCTTTGTTATTTTAAAAATGCTTTACAAGGAGCTCATAGATAGACAAGGCCTGCTCTCTTCTGACCCTCCTGTTAATCCTCGCTTTGCTAAGCCTAAGGATGCAAGCCTTCTTCCTCCTCAACCAAAAAGGCAGGTAGGAACTCATATTGGTAACACTGGACAATCACACTTTTTCTCTCATTGCTGGGAATTCAATCTTATTGTGTAACTATAGAATATATAAAACAACATGTGGATGTAATCTGCAAAGTTAACATATATTTAGCTTAGAATTGTGAAAACCACATTAAAGTTTAAGGCTATTTTATACATGCTTGACCAGATGAGAAAACTATTTGAAAGAATTAATAACTGGGGGGGGGAATAAAACCAAACCAAAACAAACCCAAAACAAACCTAAAAACATAGGTGTTGATTTCTGCATTATCACATCTAGACTCCAAACTGTATAAACATAATTACACAGCTACATTTAACATGTAAGAAAGCTACAGCAGTATCTGAAAATTTGTCTGTGCATGTACTTGATGTTTTGGGCTATTGTAAAGATAATGCAAAAGGAGTTTTCCATCCTAAGAAACCTGGCAAAAATATCTGAGGTAAAAGCTTGAGCACTGAAAAGCTGATATTGATGCCCAGAGGTTTTATTTCTTTAAGCAGAACTTGTGATAAGAATTTCTGCTGAAAACTCTTTTGCAGCACCATATACATGGGGCAAATTTTTTTAATACATTGTCTAAATTTTTCTCTTAATACTTCCAGTGAAAGCAGTCTTGTATCAAATAGTATTGGCATTCACTTTACAATAGATTTTTAAATTGAAGTAAATACCGTGTAGGGGCATTGCAAGAGTAGTCTTCAGTGAAATGGGATCTGCATTGCATATGGAAATCTGTGAATCAGGTTGATGAAAAATGCAGGTCCATAAACCAGTTGAGAATTGCTGTTTCAAAGGCAGATCTGCTATTCTGAAACATCAGAAACACACTGCAAGTTGATTGGCATTAGGTTTTTAAATTTTAATTCTGAGACATTTGGAAAGTTTATGTATTCAATTGAATTGGACAGATAGGATGAAGTAGAAAACTCTCATGAAAAGACCCAACTGGAAGGTAAGACTGAGTCTGATAAAGCTGAACTGATTCAAATGTTTCATTTACTTCAAAAGCTATTCTCTATAAAGACTGAAATTCAGAGACCTATTCTGAAATCCTCAATGAACTCCTTAAAATTATTTAAATCTTAAATACATTATAGCTTAACTTGGGTTAGGCTAGATCTAGAATTACACTGAGAACTACTGTTGATACCCTTACAAGTTGATTTTTAAGTTTAGTTTCAGGCAGATGTAATACTAAAACAAGAAAACAAAATCCTTGCTAAAAACCCTGGAAGGAGGTGCAGTGTTGTGTTCTTCTGCACTGATGCTAATTGGGGTTATTCATGAAAACTGACACAAACCTAGAGAAGGATGTCAAGACCTGCATAAGTTATGCAGGACTGATTTATTTCAGTGCATGGATGCAAGCATCAGAGATGCAGTAGATAGTTTGCAAAGAGTGATGTGAAAACATTTTGTTTCTAGTTATGTGCATGACTGTGCTGTGCTTTCAGAAGCATCCTTAAAAGCTGCATATACTGCATGATAGTGCAGAAAGCAGATTTTTTTCACTTCAAGTGTTTCCCAGTTTCAGGTGGTAGCTAGGAGTGAACACGAGGTCAGGGAACCCAAACAGTCTTTAGATGGTTCTGATCATATGGCCAGGAGAGCAAAGACTGTACAAAAAACAGATACCCAACCCAGTCTGTCAAAAACCTCTGAAAATCTCGCATCTGCCTGTTCTGCTGCATTTGTACTTTCTGGAGTGCTTGAGCGTCTTCAGCACCTGGAGGAAAAAATGAAACAGGTGACAAGCAATTTCTTTTCCTTTCTGTTTCTTAACTGCATATGTTAATCTGTATACTGTATTGTCCCTAGATGTGCTGGCTTTTTCTCTGTTGACTATAGGCTATATTAAGACAATAAAAAGTCTTTCTACAAACTTGATATATTCTCATGATGTATGTGACATTGACAGAACTTTCTCTCTCTCTCTCGATCTCTCTCACTCTTTTCTTGGCATTCCTTCCCTGGCCCTTATTGCAGAAAAGAGCTCAGACCATAGCAAATAGGGAATTCCATAAAAAGAACATTAAAGAGAAAGCAGCACATCTTGCCTCAATGTTTGGATACATGGAGCTTCCAAAGGTGAATATTAGGTTTTATCCCTGAAAAAGTGCTGAGTTAGAAGACATACGAGAAATCATGGTGGGGGGAAATTTCAGTAGTTTTGTTTCTAACTTTCCTTTCACCTTGGGTGGATCTGAAAAGCAATGTGGATTCCACTGTAACTGGCAAAAGGCTATGCATTATTTGTAATTTGAGGCAAAACAATCTAAATCATAGAGCTAATCAGAGTACTTTAGCATGAGAGAAATGTTAGAATAAACCATGTCTTTTGCTTACGTATACACTGGTAGCTCACAGTTTCTAATGCATTTGTAGCTTTTGGTGGAATCTGGCATTTCTTATGCTTTGTTATGCTTTCTCCCAGCACTATCTTACCTTACTGTACACTGTAAAGAAAACTGAGTACAATAGTATGATTTGCCATGAAGGTTTTACCTTGATAATTTCTGTGGCTCCTCCCTGTGCAGAAATAGAGGAAAAAGAACAGAATTATAGTTACTATCCTATTTTTTTTCATGCATGACTTTGAAATCTCTTAACCTCTGCTAATGTCACTGTCTCTTGGATAACTTTATTTCTGCTTTTCACAGAATAAACTATCTACTAAAGGCTTATCCTGTTCTCAGCCCCCAACTCCTTCTTGCCCTCCACCTTATGACTCAGCTGCTGCCTCTTCATCATCTGTCAGTTCAGCTTCCCCTGCTGTTCCTTCTAGACAGGTACTATATTAACAGCTTTTTCCTGTTAAATCCAAACATGTTGCTAAAGCTGCTTAAGAAACTGCTTGGATGGAAGGTGCTGCCAGCAGATCTATTGTATAGGTTGTATTTCACACTGCAATAAAATTTTCTTTTATTCACTGTTGTTAATTCTGCGTGTTTGTAGGAGAAAAGTCATTGTTAAAAATTGTTCAGGTATTAAGCTGAAGAACAAAGCAAATAGCTAATAAAATTTTTATTTCAGTTCTGAAAATTTCACATTGCTGCTTATCTTAAATGTTCTGTTGTTGGGCAGTACTGCAGACATGTCTAGCAGAGAAAGAGCTTCAGTTTTTATAGCTAACTGGATGTTACGGGATCAGTTAGATGTTCTCGGATGGCATTTGTGTTTGGTTGTTTTTTGTTTTCATAAGAATATCTGTCTGGACTGTAGGGGGGAACCTGCACAATAGTGTTGGCTTTAAGTAGATATTGTACGAGCACCTGTAGATACAGACCAATTTAATTGTTTTGCTTGTTTATTTATTTGTACTTGAAACTTGCTCCTGCACATTATTTGCTAGAATAGGTTTTTGTAACAGCAAACTTTTACAGAGAGGAAACATGCATACTCTGAATGAAAGCAGTTATGTAACACTTGAATCAGATATTCGGCTCTTACTGCTTGTGCTGATGTTAGAAGGGGCTGTGCTTTTATCTGTGGAAGTTAAGATGATATTGGCTTCTAAATCCCTTTGTTTTAGAAGGATTTTAATTGAAGCAAGTTTCTTTTTCAGCTTTTCAGGGCAGGTACAGATCTGGGTTCCCAGTATTGAGTAGGGTGGGTGAGGAAATTAAGGTGGACACTTCATTTTTTCTAGGAGTATTGACAGCAACTGCTGTGACTCAGTGCACGTGCTGCTGGAGCTGGTGGCTTTGCTGCCTGACACATGAAAGAAATGCTATTCAGCAAAATTGGATACTGTCTGCATTTACTGGGAGGAGAAGCAAAGCATTCTGCTTTTGTTGTATTCAAATAACAGTGGTTTTATGAATTACTTATGAGTGTTGCCCAACTTCAGGCAAGCCATGGGTGAAGGTACTTCTACATCTGGTGGGCAGGATCATTTAGTGGAATGGTTTAGGTATTTTAAGGTTATTTTGCACCATATTGTTAGTGCTGGTTGGAAATTGGGCTCACAGCCCCAGCAGTAACCAAGAAGCTAGGTACTGAGCTGACTTGCAGTTTGCAAAGCCATGTCCCTCAGTTGAGATAGATCTGTGTTGAAAAGACTCCCTCTCATTCTCCAGGAGAATATAGGCTACAGAGTCCTTCAAGGACACTGCAAGCCCAGCAGGTGCCTTACTGCAGTAATCCCCTAATTTTCTTCAGCTTCAAAGTAAATCCTTTGCCTGGATTTACCTCTTACTTTCTATGACCTACGAGGTATAGCATGTGATGGGTTTTAAGCTAAGTAATGGTTTCCAAAATGTAGGGGCCTGTTGTTCATTTTATTTGGAGAACCATTGTGACACTGCAATGAGAATAAAGAAAAAAACCCAAACTATATGAGCAACCCTTTAACATATGAGAACTAAGTTCTTAATCATACAGAAACAGAACCATAATTTTACTGGGTTTTAAAGTTTTTTTTCATAGAGAGCGTTTGGCCTGAGCAGTCATTTTTGGATGTTTTAGTCCAACTGTGTTTTATTTGAACTACACTCACAGCCTTTTATTAGCTTGCCATTGTATTTGAATGATGTAGCAATATTTTGTTAGGACTTGATTTCAGTCAAGCTGAGTTTACGTCAATTGAAAAATGCTCTCCATTCTGCCATTACTCCAGAGGTGATGGCAGAATGCAACACAGCTGCTGAGCCAAGAAAATCTTGTCCTGTCACCAGTACAGAAAACATACATTCATCTCATTTGGTAAATACTTGGCTGGTTAGGTAGGACTACATGTATTATTTGGCAGATCTGCATGTATGAACATCTTGATGCCTAGTATACTGCTCCATAGGGTTGCATAGGCTGTCTTCTTGTACACTGTATGCATTACATATGTCTAAATATGGTGCATTTGGCACAGCATATTTGGATATTTTTAAATAGCAGGTTTGATAGTGAACAGGCAAGCTTTAACTTTCCTCCCCTTTGAGACAGATGCTACAGGGGTAACTTAGAGGGAGCAGAGAGGTTAGACAATGTCAGTCAGCCACGGTGTCTGCACAGAGCTGTTGCGGAGAAGGGGAGGGTACCTGTGCTCCATGCTCAGTTTTGGCACAGCAATTGGTGAAGGACAGTCACTATGGAAACAGAGATTCAGGTGAGGTTTGGGGATGGGGATAGGGGACTCCTGTATAGTAAGTAGCAGGGTGCTGGGAGAGGCCTGCAGTATGCAGCAGGTTGTGTTTGGAGCAGGTTATGCCAATGTGCGCTTTACACAAGTAAAATGGATCTGTCCTGAGGACAGGAGATGACCTAAATGGTTCTGTGGACCTATGTCTAGGACCCTTACTTGTATTGGTGATGCGCTGGTGAGGTGTTAATGGATGTGCAAGGCTTTTGTTCTCCATACTATTTATTCATGTGCTGTGAGGTTGGTTCAGTCCTGTGATACCCATTACTTTAGTTGTACCTCTCTTTGGCAACTTAATTTCTGTTTCTGTTTAAGTTACACAGGCCATGTTCTGGCTATCTTCTGTTATTTCTCAAGCAAAATTTTTCCAGAAGCAGGTTTCTTACTGCTGTTTTACTGTGAGAATATCAGTTTTTCAGAGAATACCTGCTGAGCCTTGATTTCATAACAAGCAATCTATCTGTGCCCTTTCATGGTTAACTTTTTGTCCCTGGGTTTTGTCTTAAGATTGCACACTTTTTGTAACATGAAAATTCTATCCTACTGTAAAACACTGGCTAAATGTGCAGCACTATAAAATAAAATTGGATCATATTTCAGGTGCACAGTGCCCATTTTCAAGTGCTATGCATGATAATTTAACAGTATGTTTGGACTTCTCTGCTGTGAGTATGCACTGGTAATAAATTGCCTGTGTTTGTGTTATCTTGTGGTTGGGGTCATAGGACTCAGAATTTGTATTTCTGGTCCCTGTTCTGAGAGATACCACGAGGTAAGTCTAGACTTCAGTGAGAAAACGGGCTTCAGGATTGGTAAGCCAGCAGAACAAGCTTCTTCATGTTGCTCTCAGTGTTTCTGCATTTTCCCAGCAGAAGAAAAGATAATGGAAGTCTGAGTTTTGTAAGATTTCATGAGAGATGACCTATAAATATCAGTACCCTCCCATTCTTTAAGTAGTTAGAACTGTCACTTTAATTTCAAGTGAGTACTGAGATTGTTATGAGACACAATGATCCTTTGCAACTGTTGAATTTTCACTGGAGCGGTATTAGTTATGTTGCCATATTTATTGAAAATGGTGGCTAAGAAATCATACTGCCTTATTACAGAAACCTGTTGTTAAGCTTCAGTCCTGAAAGGAGCATTTAAAAGGAAGGCTGTGGAAGCATATTGTTTCTTCTAAAGGCATACGGTCGTTAGAACTTATTAAGAATTTGCTTCTACATGAAAGTATATGCAAGTTGCCAGTAATAATCAAAGCTACCTTCTAGCTTTAATCAGCTGTCAAAATTCGCATAGGTAGAATTATGAAGGAACAAATATTACAGGCTGGGCTTTGGTTATTCCTGTTGTCTGTTCAAAGTTGGATTTGACCTCAAGAAAACTGTGTTCATCTGAGCTTTGCGTGCGTGAATCCACACCATATGTCATAAGAACTATGATGTTGCAATCAGTAGGCTTTGCTGCCTGTGGTGTTTGGGCCAACTGCTTCCCTTCAGTGAGGTGACTAATCACAAACAGGGCTTGTGTGTTTTCTACACACAGTAACTTATTACTCACATGTTGTTTACCTCAGAGGTAAAACATGTAGCAGGTGGTACCAAAAGTAAATAAATACCTCTCAAAGCTAAATAAGACCAGGAAAATCATTAAGGATGTGAAACAACAAAGGGGAAGCATTGTATGCTTTGGAGGCAGAGAGTGTATTTCCTTTGTTTCATGAAAATACTACCAGGCATAGTTGTTCGTTGGCTGTGGTATTGCAAACAATAACACAGGGAAACACAGAAGGCAGCTTTCGCTTCCCAGTAATAACCACTCTGATCAACCTGCTGAAAAGCTTTGGTAACATGGCATTGACAGGTCAACAGTCTTTGCAAATCACACACACGTGGTGGATTTTTAAGTGTCTTCTTGTGGATTTTTCTTTGAAATTTACTGCTCTAAGATTCCTTTCCAACACAGGGTTTAAAGCTAATGGTATAAACCTGCTTGAATTGTGAGCAGTAACCTGCTATTTATTGATAGTGGCCCCAGCACTACAAAATTGCAGGGTTGTGTGGCGCTTCACGTACATCAGTAGCCTCAAGGGTAGTAAGTGCATGAGCAAAATATAAAACCTATTATGTGTGTAGTGAGTTTCTAGGGTACATGAGTAGCATCACGCTGGCAGAAATCTGTGTGCCGTCAACCAAAGCTAAGCCATGTAAGAGCTGACAGGTTCTCTGCAGGAATGTGTGTAGATTTTGGGGTCAGACCCTCTCTCCTGCAACTAGAATTTATTACACTTACATGATTACATGGGTGAGGATGTTACTGAAATCCTTGTCCATTACCAGGTGAGTTTTAGAGAAGACAAGGTTACTCAGTGGTTGTGCTGTTGTCATATTAGGGCAGAACTCACTAGCCTTGTGGGCTAGTCCCCGTCCCTCCGTTCTCTGTAGGCTTATGCAAGTGCTCATGAGGTGGCCTGGTGGCTTCTTATCTTTCCTTGATGTTTCTATTTTGTAATTGAATTGCTTTTGAATAGAACACAATAGAATATTTTGGTTGTAAGGGATGTACCATGATCATCTAATCCAACTGCCTGACCAATTCAGGGCTGACCAAAAGCTAAACCACGATACTAAGGACATTGTCCAAATGCCTCTTAAACACTGACAGGCCTGGGGCATCAACCAGCTCTCTGGGAAGCCTGTTCCAGTGTTTAACCACTGTTTTGGTGAAGAAGTGCTTCCTGATGTCCAGTCTGAACCACCCCTGGTGCAGCTTTGAACCATTTGCAAGCATCCTATCACTGGATACAGGAAGAAGAGATCAGCACCTCCTCTCCAGTTCCCCTCCTCAGGAAGCTGTAGAAAGCAATGAGGTCACCCCTTAGCCTCCTTCTCTCCAAACTAGACAAGCCCACAGTCCTTAGCTGCCCCTCACAAGACTTGCCTTCCAGTGCTCCCACCAGATTTGTTGCCCTCCTCCAGACACATTTAAGGAACTTCACATCCATTTACAGTTGTGGGGCCCAGAGTTGCACACAGTACTCAATGTGAGGCTACACCAATGCTGAATACAGTGGGATAGTCCCCACTTTTGAACTGGTTACTGGTGCTGTTTTTGATGCACTCCATTATGGGGTCTACCCTCTTGGCTGCCAGGGCACACTGCCGGCTCATACTGAGCCTCCTGCCAACCAGCAATCCCTGATCCCATTCTTCAGGGCTGCTCTCCAGCCACCCCTCTCCTGGTTTATACTTGTGCCTGGCATTACTCTATCCTGAGTGCAGAACTTGGTAAATTTTACCCCCTTAATCATTGCCCAATGCTCCAATCTGTCTAGGCCCCTCTGCACATCACCTGGAAGGTGTGGTGCCAAGGTTGTAGCAATAGATCTCCTCTTGTCTACTGACATACCTGATTCAGTAAGAACCACTAGAGACCTTTCCCCAGTAATGTGGCCTTATTAGACAGTTTGTATAAAGTGAGATCTAATCAGTCCTCAAGTCCACTTGTCTCCTGCCCTTCCCACTGGTGAGTAGCAACAATGTTTGTGTTGGTGGTGGTTGTAGGAGACAAGAGTAGTCAGCAATCTTTTGGTTACTAGATTAAATTGAAATCCCACTTGCTTTTACATGGAATGTGAGTTCACTTTCATTACAATAACATTTCCTTTTAACAACATTTTTAAGTATGTACAAACGTGCAATTTTCTTGTTTTGACTGCTTTAATGTTGAGGTAGATTGCTCCAATGGGTGGAGAACAGAAATCAACCAACCTGATGAATTTCAAGGTGTAGTTCAGGCTTAAGGATGCTTTTCCTGAAATTCAACTACTTGCACTCTAGGCACAGCCTTATTGTTCAAGTGGTTGCTCCAGCATTTAACTAGTTCAAGGTAAACTTTTTGCTTCAGCTAACTTCAGAAGCTTTCTTTTACCTAGGAGCTCATAGGTAATAAGTTGTATGTGGCCTAAAAGTCACTCAGCATATTCTGAGGGGCAGAATCTGGGGAGGAAAACTTTGTCTTCTATAATCTTAAACAATACAAAGGAGCATAGTTTTCCTGTAGTAGCAAGTAGCACTTCTGCTGGCTAGTAATCTAGCATACCACTTGGGACAGCACTATGGTATGTAATTAACAGTTTACTTTGCTGTTGCTACCCTGCAAGTTCTGCAGATATTGGACAACATTTTAAAGTCTTTTTATAATAAGCAAAACCAAACAGGACAGAAATGTATTCCTTGTATGGCCTTTGTTGTCTTAACATGCGTATTTTGTACCTACCTGGATATTAAGTGAATTATAGGATAACTCTCAAAAGATAAGGGAAGCTGTAAGGAGCTGAACATACTCCTCTGGATTGTATTTTTTTATCAGCAAGAATATTTTTATCTGTCATAATTTTTGAAAATGCACCCACAACGCACCATAGTTGTTTTAAACTTGATAGAAAATGCTTCAAAATTATTTTAAAGTAGCATAAATACCATTGCCTTTATATTTTTCTCTTCATGGTAGCTTTCTGATATTTTAAAACCTTTCCATCAGCAAGACGTGGTGTAATGGCAGTAAAAAATTATATTGCTGACAAGTGTGAGACTTTAAAATTTGGACTCTTTGGGAGGCAAATGAAGCACAATATATGAGACAGTGGATCCTCTAGGAAATAAAAAGAATGTTCTGACTTCAGAAGCAGAATACCAGATCCCTGGCCTTACCAGGATTGTTCTTGCTGCCTTTGCTACCAGAGAGGTTGTGGGATCTTATGTTGACTATAAAACTAAAATCAAAGTCACTACAGCAAATTTGGTTTAGGGTGGAAAATATTTCTATAGCTCTATGAAGCCTTCAGAGTTTGTTTTTTTTCCAGGAGCAGGGAACTAGAATACCTACCTGCCTGCCTGTCACACACACACATCTCCCTTTCTACTGTTCCACTCCCCAGGCATGTGTTCTGGCAAGGAAGCCTGGACCATGCAGTCAGTGATCTGGTGGTGGTACATTTGGAGCCACAGCCTAAAGAAGTGCAGTCTCCTTGCAGGCCTGTCTATTTGATAAATTTGGTTAGAAAGAGCCTGACATTTGTGGCTGCTATAGTGTGATGAAGCAAATTAAAGGAGATGGCTTCCTTTCATGAACATGGTTTCTCCATTTTTCCCTAGCATTGAGTCAATGGGGAAGAGGGAGAATGGTTGCTTTGTGTTTGTATGTGAGATTTCTACTACATTTTCATAGGATGTTTCCTGAAATGCCATGGTCTGTAGTCTGGTAATGTAAAGTTTAGTCCCCACTCCTGTTAAATACAACAACAAAGTTCCAAGAAGTCAAAGTGAACAGGGTTTGTTTTTTTCAATCTATCAGAACCGTCCAACGCTGATAGCCATGCAGTAGCTCCCAGCTCAGCCTTTCATAGGCATGGCAGGAGGACTGTGCTGTGGGAATGTTTGTTCCCAGCAGTTGTTTCCCCATCGTTTCACAGAGAAGTGTGGGAGCTGCATGGAAGCCTTCTGTGGCCACCAGCTGGACCATGCTGATAACAAATGAACATGCTTGTGCTCTGCTAGACTTTGGCTCTGCTCTTTCTCTTAGCCTCTCCTTATCGTTGTTTGCATATTTTCAAATCATTCTTGTCCTTTTCTCATAAAATTCTTTTTCAAGAAGAACTAAAGCTCTTCCTTCTATTCTTCATCTTCTCTTTTCTGGTTAGATGACTGTAGGAAAGGTATCATGTGCAATTGGAGCTGTGGCTGAAGTTCTTGTCAATCTGTATGTGAATGATCACAGACCCAAGCCACAGCTTAACCCCCTTGAACTGGTAAGACCAACCGCAAAAAGAAGCAATAACTGTATTTTAAAGAGTGGTGTTTCCAGAACTAACATCCTAACTTAAGACTGGCTGTGGAGCACTTCAAGCATTATGAAAGGTCTTACTCTAACATTTATTAAGGAATCAAGTGCATACTGGCAAAATATGCCCATGTGTGGATGTGCTGGAAATGTTGTTCACAGTGTCTTCTATTTATATTTTTATTATTTGCATGAATTAAAACTTCAGGAGGCTTTTATTAAACGTAATTACTGGTACAGTTAGTAAGAGAAGGCAATTATTAATCAGGGTAGCTTCTAAAGAAAGTTTTGTTATAGTATATGTTTATGCAGTTATTTTTAACACACAAATGCTGAATCACTGTGCCTCATTTTGGAGAGCTGTTTTTAAACTCTGACACTGTTCTGTGTTGAATTCAGAAGCAGTCTCTGGACAGAGCTACAGGTTCTTGCCCCATTCCTCATTCTCCATCTTCTGCCTCTACTGCTCAGAGCTGTCAGGTATTGGGAAGTGAAGTAAGATGTTGTGTTGTGGTGATGACACTTACCTATTAGCCAGCACAAAGTCAGTTGCTTGTACTTCACTGTAACTATCTGTTCTATTAACACTATATTTTCAAAAACATATATATATGGGTAATCATTTGCATGGTTGTTCTTTTGGGATATTTCATGCTCTGAAATGATCCATCACAGCAAAATGGATTATTGATGGCAGATTTGGAATAAGGTCCTTAACTTTTAAGCACAAGACAATGTGACAATAAAAACTGTGACTTGAACTTAACATTATGAAGTTGTTCCACGGCTGCCTTTTGCCAGCAAACTAAAGATGAGTTGTGTGGACTATGTGCTGATGTCTGAATGTGCCTGGACTCTGCCAAGCCTGTGCCTGCTCTGTCTCATGCATTGAACTTCTCCTGTGGCAGTGCGGATGGTGGAAAGGAAGGGAAATGGTGATGGCTGTGGTAGAGACAGGTTGCTCATCTGTACTGACTTACAACTAATGCAAAGTAACATCTTCATACCTACCTCTAATAAGAAAAGGGAAGTCCAGTGGCATCTAATTAATTTCTAATTTATTTTTCTGTACCTTTGTATTTTTTCTGTACCTTTTGCATGTATATCCAGAGAGGGGAAGATGCATGGCAATTAAAGAATGATGATTGACAGCCCAAATTCAACAAGAACTTTCACAATAGATTCCAGTTGTAAATATGGATCATATTTTAAAGTCCAATGCGTTAAAAATATTCTGCATGTCTGTGGAAGGAGTGAAATTGATTTATTTTTATTTTTTTTTAAACAAACCAAGCCCCAGCTTGGGCTGTAGTCTTGGGAGGAACATGTCTGAGAGGGGAAGCATGTCTGCAGTGATGAAAATAGTTCAGACACCAGCATTAAAGACTGTCAGGTTTTCTTCCTGGACATTAAAATGCAAGCCTACATTTTCCTCCAGAGTGTGTAGGAGTGAGTGTGTATTGAAAGTTTCAGGATGTCTGTTTTCCTAGCTCTGCATGCCTATTATTTGAGGCTGGCAAGGTCTGCCTTTGCCTTCTTCTGAGAAGCACTGATGCCCTCAGACTGTGAGATGCAAGTGCCTGAGCCAGCGCAGTGCAGGGTGATGGAAGAGCATCTGGGGCTGATGCTGCTCTTGTACCTGAGTAAACACAAAATGTCAGTGAACTCCCAGAGGGAAGCTGGATACAAGTCCAGCGGACAGAGCACTGGAACAGGTTGCCCAGGGGGGTTGTGGAGTCTCCCACATTGGAGATATTCAAGGCCCGCCTGGACAAGTTCCTGTGTGATGTACTCTAGGTTACCCTGCTCTTGCAGGGGGATTGGACCAGATGATCTCTTGAGGTCCCTTCCAACCCTTGGGATTCTGGGATTCTGTGAAAATCACCCCTTAAAGTCCTTGTGATGTCTGATTTATGAATTGCAGCATAAACCTACAGAATTGTAGCAAATGAGTAATAAAAAAGCTGACATTTTATTTTAATTGTGTGTGGAGGGTGCTGTGTAAAAATTCAAGCAGATAAAGAAGCTGCCCAGTTAAGAATTTATATCTGGGTGTAGTGCAACAGCTTTACGTGCATTTCTATTTTTATCATTTAACAGGCATCTCTGCGAAAAGAATTCCCTCAGTCTGTTGGGGGGAGTGACATTTGTTACTTCTGCAAAAAACGGGTATATGTTATGGAGCGGCTGAGTGCAGAAGGCCACTTCTTTCACAGGGAGTGCTTCAAGTGTGAAATATGTTCTACAACACTCCGCTTAGGAATTTACGCCTTTGATGTTGAAGAAGGTAATAGAGGAACTATTTAACAATATTTTAAATATTGATTGTTTAAGTATTGATGTTTTTAAGGGAACCAGGGAAAAAGACCTGGCCAAGTACTTCAGTAAAGAGGAGGTCTGCCTAGCATATGTGTGTCCATACTGATGAAGCTTCAAGTCCTTGTACTTGCGGTTCTAGTCTTTCAAAATAATCCAGTTATGACAGACCTGAGCTTTAAATGAGGAATTCCTCAGTGGAAAATAACTTGAGTGATCAAAATGTAATTTGTCCAAGCACATGGCAAAGGGAGGGGGAGGGGAAAGGTGATTTTTTTTTTTTTCTCTCCAACAGTACAGAGTTATTCTCATCTCTCATTTATAACTGGCCATTAAATAACATGATCTACAAGGGTAAGACACGATAGTGGCATATTTACATGGATCAAGGGAATATAGGTTATCTCTTTCAAGATGTTATGGCTCAGGAATTGAAAGCAGTAGTACTGGCCAAGCAGTGGTGTAATTTATTCCAGTCTGCTGTAGAACAGGGGATTCAGATCTTGGGCACTCAATCTGACCTACACCCCCATTTTTGTTTGCTTGTTTTTTGTTTAGAAGGAAATTATTAAACTGAATTGAAATTCCCTTGCCTCCTCCAAATGATTTGAGTAGATCAGAATGTTAACCTGATCTCTTTCTGCAAAGAAAAGATAAGTCTCAAGGCCAAAAGTGGCTCTTTTGAAGTCCAGAGAATCTTTTGCAAAGACTTTTTTTTGTAACTCATTATTTGAGTTTTTGCTGCTTTATGTCTTGTTTTGGTTTGTGACATTGTATTTATTGAATCTTGGGTTTCTGCTATTAATTAATCTTAAACCTGTGTGGTAGATAAATGACCTTGCCTTATTTAACAAACGTGTAAATCTGTGTACTGTAAAAGAACCCGTTCAGAGCTGTGAGCTATTCAGTCGGTGGCAAGTTTCCCATTCCTTTTGCTGCCCAACCATTGATTATCCTGATTTTATCTTTTTTTATGGGTGCAACAGTGGGGTTTCTAGTCCATATATATATAGATGAAATACCTTTTTTTTTTTCTTGTAGGTAAATTTTACTGTAAACCTCATTTTACACACTGCAAAATCAGTACTAAGCAGAGAAAGAGAAGAGCAACCTTACAGATCCAAGGAAAGGTAGGTATTGGTTATATTAGTAATGCAGGGGCTGTTGAGGCAGCTTTATTTGGAGTAGGGTGCAATACTTGCAGTTGTATGTGTGTGTGAGAGATGTTTCCTAGCTAATATCCAGAAGAAATAAAATCAATACTAAAATATAACATCCTGGTTCTGTTTGACATACTTATAGTCTGGTTCTGAGTGGAATTGAGTTTTTTCTGTACAAAATAAATGTGAACTTATGAGAAATTGGAAGTGAATATATATACATATATATATAAAGATGTGAAAACAGTAACGGAAATTGGATGTGCCATATTTTAGAACTATATATATATATAACATTTTTTTTAACGCTTTATATAAGGAAACAGCAGAAGCATGGAAGAAAGAGGAACCCAAACCCACAGAGACCACCACAGAAAGCACTTTGTCTACTGCTAGCAGTCCAGAGGACAGGTCCCCAGGTATCCTGACTTCCTTCTTTAGGGGCACCCTAAGCTGGCCCCTTCGGGTGACAAGGGATCTGCTTGACATTCCCAGACGCCTGTCTAACTGGATGCATGGTTTTCTGCACGCTACCAATCTTCATTTCAGGGACAATGCATATAACTATACCTACTTGTATGAACTCTTGAGCCTTGGTGTGCCATTCCTCTGTGCTCTTCTAGAGGTACTTACTCATATGTACCGGGAAGCAGAGCTATCACTTGAAAATGTGCTTGAATGGGTGAAAAAAATTCTGTAGGGTTTAAATTCTTCTGTGTCTTGCTCAATTTTGCCTTTCAGATTTTCAGAATTAACAGCCTCACTATTTTCTTGAGGGCTTGTTTTTGTTTCTTTGGGGGTTTTGTTGGTTTTTTTTTGTTTGTTTACTTTTTTACTTCTCATACAATTTAATGTGTGACTTGAATGGTGGATTCCTTCTGATATAAATGAGGTGTGCAATCAAAAATTTCAATATGAAATGTACTGTATGTTAGAGCATGAAGGGCAATGTCCAGACACATTTCCAAAACATTGCAACGGATGAAGGATGTTTGTAGATTTATCTTTTTCCCTTGTTTTATCCTGTGATCAGACCATGGGGCATACTGTATATATAAAAACCATGCTCCCTCCCCCGCCCTCCTCCTTTTTCTATTTTTCATTAGACCAAGAAAGAATGTGTATTCTTTCAGATGTTTGGGAATATTTGTGATGAATGACTGGGTTTTGCAACCTGAACATGGCGCATACCTTTTTTTTCTTGCTTTCATCTTTGCGTTATGAGGTTTATAATTTGCATGAATATGTTAAAAAGAGAAAAAGAAGGATTAATCATGTACTTAATTGCCATTGCTCCTAGTCATGCCTTTTTTTCATTTCTTATATGTGATAGATACCCTATGATGATAGTGGGTATAATCTGTACTACTAATTTATTTGAAGTTTTGAAATAAATTTGAAGAGCAAACCTTAGGTGAGTGAAGGCTTGATTGCAACTAAGTCAAAGGAACTGGTAGTGTAATTAGACCTGACTTATTTCTCAAATTGAGGCTTCCTCATTAGGTGCCTGATTCGAGGAATATCAGTTTATGGAGCACTCATCTGTAGGTGGAATCACTGCTGTGTTTCCTCTGGGTAGGCACTGCTCCTGTTGTCTTTTGAATTTATTTTTTTTTTTTTTAAATACAAGTTTAGAGCAAACAAGAAAAACCTAAAAATGTATTCCAAGGAGATTAATTCGTAGTTGGGTATTTCATTCATTTCAATGTGTAATGGTAGAAAGGTGAAATTCTATCTGGAGCAGCTGTTAAGTAACTTTTTCAGATGTCTCTCAACAAAGTCTACCTTAATCAGAAGGTGTTGGGGCAGGTTAAGTAAGCTGTTTAGTGGCAAGGAGACACCAACATCCCAAATCCTGATTACTTTCAGCCTAGTTAGCCAGCAAGGTAAGCATGCTCCCTGCCTCTCAAATACTTGAGTGTTTGAATTCAGAAGTTAACCAGGAAATAGGTAAATACATAAACATGGTAATATGTATAGCCTAAAATTAAAAGCATCTGTAGCATTTATTTCTAGCCCAAAGAATATGGCTTAAATAATAGGAAATATTGTTGCATTCAGTTAGAACCAAAGTTGAGGATCCAGTGGTCTTCCAGTGGCCTTAAATGACTGTGCTGCTTATGGGCTGGCAGTTTTTTCTTAGGTATAAAGAGGAAATTATCTTCTGTTTAAAGGAAATAGCAAACTGGATTTTTCTTCTAGTTTGACTTCCTTTCAACTATGGGGGTATAGCTTTTCACGGTTTAGAATGATTATGTATTTTGGGGGGAAAAATTGTTAGTATATACACAGAACTTGAAAAAGTGATTGAAGAAAATTGCTTAGGTGTAAGGCAGCATTCATTTGAAATAAATTGTCATTAATGCTCAAACACGTATTAGCAAAACATTGCTAGAATATTGACTGGACACAGCAACAATTATAGTAACATGGTGGGCATCTGTATATATGTAACAAAACATATCTGTATCTTTTTTTAATAGCGTTTAAAAAACCCCAAGCCTACTTTGGAACATTGTATACTTTTTAATTATTTGCTAATTATAGTTTCACTTTAAAAAGGCAGAAATCTGTGTTGTGATTGAGCATGTTACTCTTGCAACACAGCAAACTGCCAAGTGGTGAAGGTTTAAAATTTGGCTTGCAATCAGTTCTCTGTCAGTTTGTCAACAGCACAGTCCTTAGGAACACTGTTTCCTGAAATCTTCTCCTACTGTTTACTACAGGAAATTTTCTGCTTTTCAGCAGAGTGAACGTAATGGTAAACATACCATTGGTATGGAAAATGGCAATATAGTAAGAAATCTATAAATCTCTGATGGCCAATGAATGTAAAGTAGATGAATCTTACTAGGAGAAAGTTTAAAATTCAACGTAAAAACATAAAAAGATGTCATTGACTCTTCTAGATTTATATACTGAGGAATAAAATCCCTACATTCCCACAACAGAAATCAGGAATCTGCATAATGAAAACATTTTCCTGAGGAATCTTAATTACGCTGCATATCAAACTGGGATTTTGCAGGTGAATCTGTTGGCAAGGTTTTTTTTATTGGTATCAATCTAATTGGTAGATTTTTTCTTTATTTTTTTTTAATCTTAATATTCTGTTAGTAAGATTCATACTTGCTTGTCCTCATTCACGATTTAATGAAGAAAGGCAGTTTCATATTGGCCGATTCTTCTCTGTGCCTACATAATCTTTCTGATGCTTTTCTGTATAACTAAGTTAAGGTATGTTTTGTGTTTTGTTTTTTTTTCCCGGCTGTCTTCTCTGTCAATCTCCCTCATTGCTTTTAGTCCATTTCATCATTCCAGTGCTGCATCCACTCACTGGCTGAAGCCTTTCTGCTCTCAGGTGACTTTTTTTCTGCTTGCCAGTTCCAAAATCGTGTGACTAACACTGTTGTTTGACAGCATTTCAGTGTGCATTTTTTTCAAGACTTTTGGAGCAAACTGTGTGTGTCTGGTATATTAATGGATGCAAGCTTTGGCATGATCATTTAATCTGATGCTGAGTTCACAGTTCTGGAAAACATAAAGTCTGTGCTCTCTGTAGAGAATGTTTTTCTCTCTGTGTCTCTGCATGTACTCTTCCTTGTGCCTTCAAGGTAAGTTAGGTAAGTAAATTGCTTCTCCAAAGAACTAATTAAAGTCATATTTCTTTCAAAATATTGAAGGAAAGGTTTGAAGTAAGGTCAGGACAAGATTAGCCAGCTGATTCTCCTGGTTAGCGTGAACACCTGTTTCCATTGAGCTCAAATAAGCAATGATCAAGCAATGTTTGAGCACTGCGGTGCTTCCTAAACACTTTCTTGCTTTCATGCTGGAAGAGTACAATATAAAAGCATTCTGTTAAAAAATTAGCCAAGTAGATGCGAATTCTGGTCTTTCACCCCAAGAAACATGGTAGGCTGGCCTAACAGTAATATATAAGCATGCTATTTTTAGTCTGTAATAGCAGAATGCCAAGTTTATATAACCAGAGTGTTTTGGTTTGAATTGTTTTGTTAACTAATTAACTAGGCCCTATTTGCCACTGTGATGAATGGATTTGTCTTGCTGCATGAGACCTTGCCATGCTCTCCATGACGAAGTTGTGCTATTATTTTGTATTTTTTCATAAGTTCCAGTATGTGTAATCAGTCACACATTGATAATCTAGAAGGGGAAATGAATCAAAACAAGAACCAAGGGCTGGGTCTGACAAGCATGTGCACTAAAGCTTTGTTTGACATGGACATGACCCAGCCTTCCCTCCTGACATTCTCTTCTAAAGGGAAGAGTCTTCAGGAATTGATCTAAGTGGCAGTTTTCAGGAGAGGCCACACATCCTCTGCCACTTGCCCTGTTTCACACACCTCAGGCAGGAACGCTGAAGTGCTGCAGGGTCAGAGCTCTACACTCCTTATCTTGCTGACCTGTACATTTGTGTAGCTTAAGCAATAGTATTTATTTGTGTGGGTATGCCAGAATGTCTTGATGGCTTTGAAAGTCCCAACTCTGTGCCCACACAGAAACCTTCTCTGTATTTTAAGCGTCACTTCCTGCACAAATGGTTAGGACGTGGCTTCCTATGTATTTCAGGGCTATGGTGTTCTGTTACAGAGCTCAGCATGCTTTCAGATGAAGGTCATGACATAAAGGTCTGCCATTTCAAACCACTCCACTGCTGTGTTTTTTTACCCTTTGTTGCAGAGTCTTCCTAGCTCTTCCTGGCCAGTGAGGATTCTGTCCTTCTCCTCCTCAATCTTCTGTCTTCATTTTGCTTTATAATCTTAACTGAATATTTTTATTAAATAGTTTTTAATGCTGTATTTAAATTTTCACATGGAAATTCTGTATTTTGCACACAGTGAAAATTGTTTTAGCTTTATTTATGATATCTGCTGTAAACAAAAATAAATGTAGTTCTTTGTAACTCTTCTTGTTTCATCTCTTCCTTTTAAAAATATTTCCTAAGGACAGAGACTTAATAATGACTTCACAGTGGTTCTGCACATTCCTCTTCTGGTGGATGCTGTTGTGTTATCTTTGTGGCCTGACCCAAAGGCCAGAGACTTTCACTGTGGTGGCATAACTGCATGTGTCCCTTTTGAAACAGATATATGGCAGGGTCCTTGGCAAGTTATCCCACCCAGTGCTGATCAGGAGGTGGCTGGTGTTGGGATTTGTCCTTCCTGGGAATGATAAATTGGTGTTGGTGCGCATTGGAGCTGCTTGTATTGCATACAAAAATGGGACTTGTCAGCTTCCCTCTCACTTCTCTTACCTTTCCTTATGATTATATTTTGCATATTTACAAACATCATAAAGGTCACGCTGAAATGTGTTTGGGATTTTATACTGTGTACAGGAAAGCAGGTAATAACTGTGGGTAAAGCTTTACTTTTGCTACTAGCTCTTGAGTGCTGTTTGCAAGCTCCCTGTATCTTCTGGATGCTGGGAAGCTGCAACTAGTGGTGACCTATTATATGTTAACAGTGGCCTTGTTTATTTATTTATTCGTTTCTTTAGCCATCCTTTGCTCTGTCATGGCTATTTGTTTTTTTTTCCCTTAATTTTAATTTGTTGTTAAAGGTGGTGTTTGTGGTTCTTTTTAAGCAGTGGGGTCTCCAAAAAAGCTTTCCTAAGTCTTCCTCCCCTTCACCTTCTTTTCCTTTTTTTTGCTTGCACTGCAACTCTTAAACTGTAATCTCTTCCTTTGTATTTCAAGAAAAAAAAACAACAAAACAAACAAATCCCAGAAAGAATATTCCCAGTAATTTAATGGAAAGATTGTGTGATGTATTTTTTAAAGTTAGTTCAAAACGAGCCTCAGAAGGGTTGTTTGAGTGACAGAAAAGATTTATTTTTTTTTACAGTGTTGCTAAAGACAACATTGCTAAAGAACAACAAATGTTATTCCCAATGAACTATTTCATCTTCCCTGCCAAAGAAAAAGCCACCATGTACAGTAGAAAGTTTATTGTCTGGGGGGGGGAGACAATTTGCATAATGACAACATAGGGCAACAAATACTATTTAAGACAATACTTGGCACTTTCTTAATTGTAATGGACAAAACAATCTGGGTAAGACTCCATTTACTGTTTATGCAACCAACAGATTCAGAACAGCCTTATTTCTGCCATCTTCATTATTTTAGGCAGAGGCAGTGACATGGAAACATTAGAAGGGGTTTTTGTGCCTGCAGAAGGTGATGATTTATTTGGCACTGAAGCTTTGAGAGGCATCAGATGTTCATGCTGTTCTCATAAGTTTTCACTCACAATAACTTGGAATTGGGGTAATGTTAGATTTGTTATAGTTTTGTTTCTTGTGGTGGCACAGAGGTCCAAAAAGTCAAATCACTACCAAGTCATGTCACTGGAGGGATATACCTAGCAGTGAACAGTCCGTGTCCTTGAATACTAGTGGACAAAACAAAACACAGTGTTTGGAAAGGAAATAAAGAAGACGAAATGAGCATCATGAGGGGAACAAGTTTGTGCTAGTTCCCTTGCTCTGAATCAAAACCATTACACAATAAAACTGAATATTCCTTGTTCTACTTCTAGTACTGCTGATGAAGGAACAGACTAGTGGGTTAAGTTCTCTGCAAATTTAATGAGCCTGATTTGGCCACATGTGCAGAGCTCCCTGTGGGTAGAAGACCTGAATCCTCCTCCTGCTCTTGTGCTGAGCTCTCTCCAAAAGCTCTAGTGCTCTCAGACTCTGGCAGCACATGCTGTTAAAAATGCACCCTGAAGCAGTGATGCCTTGTCCTTTCACATAGCTGGAATTAGCAGTGGTGCTTGTTTGAAAGGCAACCAGGCTGCTGCTCTGGTCTCCAGCTGCCACTGGACTGGTTTCCTTCTAAAAACCATGGTTTCAGAGCAGAAGACACTAATGGCTCTTGATATAGCTAATGCTTTCTAAGACTTGAAAGTTGCTTGATGCTATAGATGCCATTATAGCAGTAGAAATGCAGAGGTGACATTTGCTTTGTCTGGCAGGCTCAGGAGATGCTTTGTCTTTCCTCCTCTTTATGCTGGTTCAAATGGGTTCTGAACTTGTCTGTTGCCACAAGGGTCGTTTGGATTGGAAATAAGTACACAGGTGTGCTTTTTGAAGAGCCAGGCCCATCTTAAAGCAAGGCAGCGTTACCTGCCTACATGTCTGGTAATGAAAATCAAACATGCTGAGATTCTGTAAAGGGTAACCTGCCTTTATTATGATAATGCTAATGCTTGATAATGAAAAAGAACACAGACAAAACTTCTTAAAATTGCTTAAATTAAAACATCAGCCTTTCATTAGGTCTACAAGAAAAGTAATTTCTATTTCTCTTGCTTTCGTCTAGATTGCTGCAGCTATAAAATGCCATTGAAAGTGACTTCTGTATGTATTCCAACCTCAAACAAGGACTATGATCTGGGTTTTCCCACACTATTATGGCAATTAGTTACTATAATTGGCTTTAATTCACTTCTGGCTCGCTCATTCCTCACATTCCAATCAAAACAATGAGTTCTGAAATGACTGAATTCTGCATTAATATTTATGTTTTTGAAGGCATGACATGGCTGCAGATGACGTGATTTTTTTTTTTGCATTAGAGATCGTATCACTGAAGCAGAAAACAGTGTGTATTAATACATATTAGTCATGTAAATGCTTCCCCAATCTCTCCTTTTCTCCCTGAACTGTGTTAACATAAAAAGAAGAGAGGCTTTGATCTCATCTCCTCAGGTGGTGGGCTCCAAACCTGTTTGAAATGGATGGAATTTCTGATATGTTTTTATGAAATATAAAATTACAAAGGAATTTATATATTGCTATAATCTCGAACTTGCTCTTTCAGCATTTATTGTGCAAGCATTCATTTGTGTCTGTGTTTTAAGGTCTTTGAGGCTTTGAGTCTGTGTCCGAAGATACTATTTTGAGAGACACTGATCACTCTGGAGACTGAAACAGTTGTCCCTGCACTCCGAATTCATCACTACTACATGCATTAATATACCAGACTAGCACAGATTGCTCTGATAAAATATATATTTACTCTAAAATTACAGACACTGTGTGTTACCATAGCAGGTTTTGTTTGAGAAGCAATTTTCCATAAAGATGCACATTCCCTTTGTCTAGTAGGCTTTCACTAAAGTGCTTTTTCCTTTATTAATTTTTGCTCGGTTTGCATTAGAATGTTCATGTGCACCATCCCGGATGCATTCGAAAGTCGTGTGCTTTGGGCTCTGCCTTACTTTGCCAGGTTCACATTCCCTGGTCATGTTTCATGCATGAATTCAGAGGTGTCTGTTTATCAAGTAAGTAATGGGTACTTTGAAAAAGTCTTTTGCTGCTGAAGAACTTGTGTAGGCGCTGGTGTGGCCATGGGTTGTGGGAGAAAGGTGGGCTCCTGGCATGGGGACAGGAGGAGGGGCTCTTCAGGAGCCCATCACAGGGCCATGGGTGGAGAAGTGGCAGCAGGAAAGCATCTGTTGGGTGCTGGTGGTTGGAAGCCAGGCACGTCATCAGGCCTCACTGCCACAGGGAGCAGTGTGCCACCCTATGGCTAACAGGAGAGCTGGTTGCCTTTGTTCTTTGCCATCTGTTAGCCACTGTAACAGGGAAATTACTCCTGTAGGAGCATGAAGCAAGTGTGAGGAAAAAGGAGGAGAAACGTGGCAAGAGGTGACATCTGTGGAATGTCAGACATCGTATCTTTTACACGTGTCCTTTTTGAAGGACAAGAACCTGCCTGGCGCTTTTTCAGGTGCAATGAAAAGTCAGATTTTGGACAGGGCATCAGTTTGGGAATGTTGCTAGGACTCCTACGGCCTCCTCAGATAGTGATCTGTGGAGTACCTCAGTGGGATGACTTCAGTTTCAAAATCTGACACAGGCAATGCTCCCATTGCAGCCTTATATGTTTTGACATTCCTGTTACAGGGCACAGCTGAAGCTATAACAGGTCTGAGCTCAGTTTTCGCTCCAGTGTGGGCTGGTAACCAGTGCATTGCATCAACACCAAGGTCTAACCAAGCGGAAGGTGTCACAGTTACCCCATCCCCTCTCACAGTCCCATGTGAGCTGCGCTTCCCTGGAGAGTGCCTTCTGTTCTGTAGCTCATCCCTGAGCTCGCTGAGTTCATTTCAGCTGTGCTTCCACAGCATAGGTATGAAGATGCCTTCCTTCTGCTCCACAGCTTTCTTAAAGCACTGCCGTGTTATAAGCAGGACTCATGAATGTTTTTTTGTTTATTACACAGTAAGAAGCCAGAGAGCAGCAAAGTGTGCTGGGTGTGCTGCAAATCAATCTGTGGCCTGCTGACTGAATGTCTTAATGTCGGGTTTTGATGCCAAATGGTGTTCGTTTTCACCATCAGAGCTGCCTACATGTATGAGTAACTCTGCTTTAAAACTGTTCACTCCTGTCGTTGCCTTAGTCAGCAGCTCCATACAAGGCCAGGCAGAGTCCACTCATCCTGTGAATGAGTTATAGGGTGACACAGTTTAATGGCAGGCCAAGAGCCTCAGGATTGCCAGCCAGGAAAGCAGGACACAAGCTAGGTTGGGGTCTTTATGGGTTTGTGCTGGGCCAGCTGCACAGCAGGGAAAGTCAGCCCTGTGCCTGGGCACCCACCTCTTGGTGAGAGCAGCACTCGGGATCACAGTGGTGCTTTTTGCCTGAGGATCTGAAAGCCCTCTGCCAGTCTCACACGGCTGGGGCAGCTTTGGGTAAGTACTGCTGCTTCCCAGCCAGCAGGGGGTCACAGGAACATGAGGTGTCAGAGGTGCCAAAACGTCACATCCCAAGTGCGCGTTGTGACACCGAGTTCCTGTAGGTTTCCTTTTTCCTCCCCAAACATGGCCTGCACTCAGGTGTGCAATGTAGGCATGGCCGTAAGAACTTGGTCACTTCTTTGTCTGCCTTTCC